GAGATGGGAAGTAGTGTCCGAGCGGATCCAAGTCACGATAGCTCAAGTGGTAGAGTAGCGGCGTATTTAGCCGAAGGTCGTGGGTTCGAATCCCGCTCGTGACACTGATTTTTTATCTCAACCAATACCTTCCATAAATATTAATTAATTGAAAAATGTTAATTGGTCAATCGGACCACGAACTTCAATGGATGTTAATGATGATATTTATTAAAAAAATTAAAAATTTACTTTAAGGTTAAGATCGATCACCTTACCAAATATTTCTCTTGGGAAATCTATTATTATTTAAAGCTTTTCGTTAAGCATAAGGCTTTTTTCAGATCAAAGCTTTCTTAAGGGCTTCTCATTGTAGCCTTGGATTTTCCTCTCCCAGAGTAACCTATGTAAACTTTCGCAACGAAGACATGTTACGCTTTGTTTTTCTTCCTGGCAAATCTGCGCAGGTTCGTTTCTGCTGCTACGACTTTATAAATAAGTTTACTTTTGCTTTTCCACCTCCAAACGATGACAAGATAAATAGAATACAATATAGAAAAGAGAAGTTGCACCAAGACAACATTTATCAACTAAAATTAACATTTTTTGTGGAAACGTGTGATGTTTAGTGACCGTTAGCCAATGATTATTTGGAGATCGTGAGATGCGGTCTGGTGTGACGTAGGTTTTAGAAAAACATTTTCTTTATTGTTCCAACGTTTCGATCTTTATTGAGATCATCTTCAGGGCACAAAGTGTTTGTTTTCCGTGTAGATGTGTCATTCTTCTGTGTCGTGTTCAGAGTGCCCACACCAGACCGCATCTCACGATCTTCAAATAATCATTTTTTGTTGATTTTAAACAATTATCTCCTCATCCACCAACTCTTCTCCTATGGAATGCAAACGGCTTGAACTCCTACTTCAAAGAACTAGAAATACTTTTACAATGAAAAAGAATAGACTTAGTACTGGTTACGGAGACACACTTTACATCACGATCTAATTTTTACATTCGAAATTTCAGGACTGACCATCCCATGGGTATTGCTTGTGGAGGTACTTCTATCTTAATTCGCAACATCTTAAACCATTATCTAATTCCTAGCCAATCTTCTGTATCTTTACAATACACTGCCATTAAATTGTCCTACTCACCCTTTAACTTTACTATAGCAGCTATATTGCCCCCCATAACAATTCTCACCAACAGTTTCTATCTTTTTTCCAGAGCATTGGCCCGCGTTTCCTGTCCGGCGGTGATTACAATGCAAAGCACCCACAGTGGAGCTGCAGGTTAGCTAATCCACAGTGTCCTCTCTGCTCAACTACGTATCTCCCCCTGATCCTACGTATTGGCCCACTGCTACTAACAAACGCCCAGATCTTCTAGACTTCTTCATTACATCCCAACTCTCTTCACTTCATGTTTGTACATTGAATGATCTCTCATCGGATCACAGTCCTGTTATATTAACTATCGACACATATCCCATTCCAACTGCCCCTAGGGCTACATTAATTCACAGTCCAGTAGACTGGAAACAATTTGGAATAGTCTTGGAGCAGAAAATAAATATCAACCCCCCTTAAAACACACCACGAAAAAGGAAAAAAAAATTACGTTATCTATAACTGAATCCATCAGTAATTCAACAATTCACACACATCCACAAAACACCTATTCTCTCCACAACGTACCGCTTTATAGTCGCTACCTTATACGATCAAAAAGACAAGCTCGTGAAGAATGAGAAAGAACACGTTATCCTTCAGATGAATAATGAATGAATCCGTGAATAAACTAACACATCAGCTGACTACGGAATTGCAAGCATATCGCTCCGACCGATTCATACGATTTACTGGAGCGCTAACAATAGATAACAAATCGCTCTGGGCGGCAGCTAAAAATCTTCTATCTTACCACAAAATATCTACCCCGCTTCGCCAAGTCGACCGCAGTTGGGCCGTCAGACGAGGAAAAAGCGAATGCTTCTGCCTCTTACCAGACCACAGTATTCACCCCAGGTGTGAACATCTTAGACCATACTTATTCACAACTAATCAAGGAATAAATACACTCACCGATTCCATTATCCCTCCCTCCTAAAGCTTTTTCACGTTCTGACGTTCATTCTTGCATACAACACCTAAAATCAAAGAAAACTCCATGTTTTCATCTTATTACCCCAAACATAATCCAACACCTTCCCAAAAAGGCCATCATACTCATTACATACCTATTTAATTCTGTTCTTGTACAACCCTATAGCTTGGAAGTACTATATTCGAATGTTCCCTAAGCCAAAAAGCCAACACATTGTACTACTTTATACAGGCCAATAAGTCTACTATCCACTTTGGGTAAAATTTTAGAAAAACTATTGAAAATTTTCCTTTGAAAAATTACACACAAAAAAAGAGGGAAAATTCAAAAGGTGGGGTTGAGATGGGAAGTGTCCGAGTGGATCGAAGTCACGATAGCTCAAGTGGTAGAGCAGCGGCGTATTTAGCCGAAGGTCGTGGGTTCGAATCCCGCTTGTGACACTTTTTTATCTCAACCAAAACCTTAATTAATTGAAAAGGTCAAGCTGACTACGAAACCTAATAAAATGTTATATACGACGTAGGCAGAATCAAAAAGGAACGAGAGACGAAATCTTGGATGTTTGGACATGTTGATGAAAAAGTTACGTACTTTCAAAAAAGATTACAACAAAAAAACAAAATGCAACGTGAACTTGGCTTGAGACTATAAAAGCCAGTCAAGATTTAAGTCAATAGGCGGCGAGCTATTAGGGACTTTTGATTTGCAAAAATTCAACAAATTGAAAAGAACATAAATAAACAAACGTATCATCAAAACAAACACGAGAGTAATCAGAAAAAATCCCTAAGGTACTATATAAACTTTTTGGTTAAATAAACAAATAAAAACTTAGGAAAGGAGAATCGCAATTTTTAAACGAGCTGTGGCGTTAATAAAACAAATAATATTACATCTAGTAAAGAATTTCTTATTCCGATTGTCTTCTTATGACTGATGCCCTTATAAGCAACGTCTTAAATATGTAAAAACTCTGATTTTACTTAATAAATTATTATTAAAATTAATGCTGCTTTGAAATCGGGAACAAGAGCATAAAGGACTACACAGCAGAAAGCGTACATTCAAGAGTAAAACAGCATACATTCAAGCCTTAGCATCCAAAGGCCATCAAGCAAGCGACTCGCCTACATGATCCCCTACCTAAAATATATAATGCTAGATGTCGTAGATAAGCCAAAAGAATATGGGGCTTAGAACCTTTCAGTCCAGACCAATTTGTAGCTACCTATTGTTGCTAAACATAGCAGATTAAACCTCAGTCGTAAATGACTGGACTTGAAATTCTTACCTTAAATCGTTGCTTTACCTTCTCAACTACTTAACCTACTCTTCTTCAAGTCTAACTTCAATCCTTTCCATAGCAACCAAATGTCAACTACCTACATTTCTCTACACGACCGCCTTTACTTCTACGAGCTATTTAATTTTCAATCCCTCCTCACAAAATAAAAACAATAATTCTGAAATTCCATGTGACACAAGAGACCTGGGATGCAAATCATTTGGATGTCCAAAAACATAAAAAAGTGGAGAAACGATATGTATAACGTTACATATATAAAATGGTCGAGCGCTTCCAAATAATAAAGGACATGTCGAGCAAAAAATTTCAATAAAAATAGAGAACTGGTTTTAACAAATCGATTGGTCAATACAGGATTTTAAAATGAAATCCACTCTTGCAGTTTAAATTCACTTTTCATTCTTTTACCAATCTAATTCACTGTTTTGCAAATTAAATTCTATCTTCACTCCTTTACAAATCAAATTCACCCTTTTACCAATCAAATTCATTCCTTTGCTAATCAAATCCACCCTATAAATAAATGTAAATAAATGTTGTTAATTTAAAAATCTTAAGAAATGGCAAAAACCATTTCAAAATCGATTCAGAAAATATGTGACTATGGGAAAGCAATTTTCCATTCCTTTTTTCATAATATCTTCCTGTATCATTCGCAATTCTTATTATGAACGTTATTTGATTTTTTTATATAGTACATTATTAGCGGGGATCGAGCAAATGTATTCAAAAAAGGGAAAAACATTCAAAATTAACACTAGTAAAAACAACAAATAATAATTTAAAAAAAAAAAATTAAATATAATATATATGTTGTCATACATGATTTGGAAAAGAGTGAATTTAATATCAAAAAGGTATAATAATATTATAGTAACATAATAACCCTGAGCAATTTTGAAAAAAATAAATCAAAACCTAGGAGGCAACAATCTACAAAGGCAAACAAATCTCAAAAACTGCTTTCTTAGAGTCCTTTATAGAAAATATATGAGTTCCAAATATCCAGAAATCTTAATAACAAATAGATTTAAAAATCATAACAATAATTAACGATTGTTTACAGGGAAAAAAGTCAATATTAAAGGCAATCCATTTTATTGTAAATATGTTTACTTTTTTTAATGAATATTAAGTTTCAGTTTAAACTTTTAATTTATTTTTAAATTTTATATTAAGGATGATTGAAACGTTGTTTCGAATTTATCAGAGAGTGAATGGGATGAACTGGGTAAGGGGGAAAATCTAACTACGCAGTTACGTCGGTACAATTTTTCAAGGTCTGTCAAGAAAAAAAAATAGTTTCCAACCCCGGTCGGGTTTTTGTTGATTAAATTTGTCCGGGTTAAAGTTAAAATTTATGTTTGAATCACTTTCATAAGGAAAATTTGACTGTACTTATGGTTTTACCGTTATGCCCTACGAGACTGATGTCACGTACTCCACGCCGAGTAAATCAATTCCGAGCCTACCTGTTGTTATTAATGAAAGTTTTAAAAAAATGGTTTGTTTGAGGGGTTCGTGTACACAACTGAATGTTTTAACTTTTCTGAATGGAGTTTTTTTTTACAAAATAAGGTTTTTTTTTTTTTTTTTTTTTAAATACCTGCACATGATGCTGAGAGAACGTGTACGACGGCCGTGTCGGGGTTGAGAAGGGAATTGAAGAAGGATTTGGCTTGAGAATAGGCACAGAAGTAAATTGCACGAGATGGAGCAACACCGACGAGATTGGGTCCGAGCCCTTTGAAAAGGGCCTTTGGCCCTTCGTTTCTCACGATCAGTCTGCAAAAGAGAAAATCGTCTTGAGGGAGTCGAGTGGAAAGGGTTCGCCTCAGAAAAAACCTAGCGACCTGTACCTAATGCACTGAAGGAGTCCTATCGTTTTCGCCGTCGGCTTGCCGTAGGTCGAAATCGCGAGGATCTGCGTCGCTTGCCTCGGCGTCAAGGTGTTGATCTTCCGCCTCTGGTGGGACGGCATGACCGATTTGCACGTGTGCCTGCTCCCGATGTCCGGGGAGGCGATGTTGGGCACACGTACGTGGAAACCGGAGGACGAGGACTGGAGCCGGGTTTTCACCACTTCCAAAGGGCACGTCACCACTGCGCCCACCGTACCGGCGACCCTTGAAATTCATCCACATTTTACTTACAAACGCCGAGAAAAATTAAACCCGTCGGCGGAGTGACGAGACTTACCCTCCGGCGACCAGGTGAATGATCGTGTCCCTCTGAGACTGGCTCATGGCACTATTTATCTACACCACGGTTCGATTTTAAATCCCTTCGTACATTTTCACACTCGGGAATCTAAACTAGACCGGACAGTCTCGCGCGATTGGAAATCTAAAAATATCGGTTCACTTCACTCGACTACATGACGTACGACAGAGCCGAGTGGCGTGGAACGGCCCAACACTTCATACTATCACCGGATTTCAGTCGTAAAGAACGGAGAGCAGCTCCTGCCAAGTAGTAACCTCGAGAAGAGCGAACATTTCAATGAGGACGGGCGCGTGGACCGTAGAGGGGGCTGGCGACTCCTATCACCGGTACCCTTCGAAAATTTACCCATCGGTGGGAGAACTTCAGCAATTTCAGAATATGGCCTGATTGCAGAGAACCTGCCGATAATCTGGACAACTGGCCCCGAACCCGCTCATTTCCAACTGAAACGCACCTGCACCTGGCAGAAGAGCATTTCCTCAGAATCACATTCACAAAGTTGAACTCACTCCACATTCTATAAACAAAGCAAAAAGCTGTTCTCAGTTAACATTAGTCACTAAAAATCTAAATTGAAATGTGTACTACTTGGGTGAAAAAATCAAACTGTAAAGAAATATTATTATTAACCAAGCAGTAAACAAGCATACACATGACTTTTGATCAACCTTTTTTGATAGAATATTAAATCCAGCCTGCAGCTGTTCTCAATTAAGTTTATGTCAATTTAACTTATTTTGAGATAGATTTCTGCTCCTTGGCTGAAAAGTAAAAAATCAAACTATACAGAAATATGATAGCCAAGCAGTAAACAAGCGTATCACATGACTTTTGAACAACTTTTTTTGATAGAGTATTAAATCCAGCCTTAAGCGGTTTTCAATTAAGCTTTATGTCTACAAAAATCTAACTTATTTTGAAATAGATATCTACTCGTTGGCTGAAAAGTAAAAATCAAATTATATAGAAATATGATTTCCAGGCATATCACATGACTTTTAATCAACTTTTTTTAAATAGAATATTAAATCCAGTCTGAAGCTTTTCTCAATTAAGCTTTATGTCAATAAAAATGTAACTTATGTTTTGATAACTTTCTATTACTTGGCCAAAATGATCAAACTATACTGACATCACTAATCATCGTACAAATTTTGAGATTATCTTACAAGAATGTGCCAGTGATAATGGTAATGATATTATATAAACAATTGTGGAGAGAGAGAGAAATGTAAACTAAATAACATTATTTATAAGGCACCAGAACTGATTTTAAAGACGACATTAGAATAACAAAATCTGATTTGTCAACTATTGCACCTTATTAATGAAGAAGTCAACAGATGAACGCTTTCAGATTCGGAAATGATAAAATTCGCCCTATTAAAGTAATTTTTGTGAATTCACCAATTCCTTAAAAAATACTTATGCTCGGCAGTATCTTCTGATTACTCATGGAGCTATGACCCAACAACGTTTCAGTGAAATCACCTTAAAAAGTTCAGAGAAGACCTTTAGCTACAGCAAGATCCCACTGTAACCATAAAGTTACATGGATGCCCAAAAATTGTAAAAAAACGAAAAAAAACTAAGTACTGATAATCAATCACTGAATGGATCAATGATATCTTACAAGAATAACATAAAAATACTTTCTCAAACTTGGCTAACTTCAGATGTTTAAGGACTATGTACTGTGACTCAGTAAACTATGTTGTCTACATAAGAATAGTTTCTTTCTCTTAAATATGTAATTAATTTCGTTAATTAAAAATATATGTTTGTATCATAACAAAGATGTAAATTTGTATTGAAATTTTGTCTTATTTTGTTTGTTTCTTAATTTATCTATTTCATTTTAATACTATATTTCATAATTATTTATGAGATGTTATCTATTTGTAACTGGGTTTTGATCCGTACAAAATAAATTAGTAAATACCTAAAGCTTTTTTCGTCTGAGACAATACTGAAAGTCTCGCCAAAGTTGCTTTTGGCGCTTTCCAACAGAGTGACGGGACTTGGCTTTATTCTCAAGTTCCAAAATGTTTTATATATTCTTTATAATATTATTAACTAAATCGTTCAACATTTTTCAAAGTTCATCATAAAATACTGATGAACTGAAAAATGCAAATAGATAAGAACTTTTTTTCTTTTTTTTATCCTGTGGTTATAGTCTTTTTTTAGATCTTGTATTTACAAGAAAATAGTTTAATCTTTGTTATTGCATTCCTTTAAAAAGTGATCGTTCAATTGTTTTTATCAGACTGATCAAAGTTGACGTTGGCAGAATTGGTGGTAAGCTATCAACGACCCTGATCTTGTATGTTTGTGATAATGCTTGACGTTTGTGAGACGCCGGGCTGTCAGTGATTCGGCGTCAGACTGAGCGATGTGAATCTAAAGGGGCAGCGGTCACCAGGCGATTTTTCCGACCAGTTTGAAATATTATGGATTTACCTATGGTGATTTGAACAAATTGTCGTTTTGTTGGTATTGAACTTGGGCATTTTTAATTTTGGCCGTTTATACTTTTTTTTAGATCGAGAAATGGCACCGTTTCCATCCTACGTCCTTAGGCTCACATTCCACCACAGAGCTATTTACTGCTACTTGGTACTTAGCCTGTGGATCTTAATACTACTTGGAGGTATGTAGAGAAACCAATGGGGAAAAAATCAATTTAAGAACCTACGAAAATATTCAAATATGACCCACAAGGATTTTAACCGTGAAACAAAAAATTTGTAGCAAATTTAGAAAAAAATAGATAATTTTAAAATATTTTGAAAACTTGGTCAAGTGTTAAAAACACCATTGTCCTATAGTTTAATATCCTTAGAACTCTAGTAATTTGTTATGTTTTACCTTTTATGTATCAGTATTACTACATGTTACTGAAAATTTGTGATTTACTGAAAATACTAACGGAATACAATTACAAATTTCTGATTGCTCTAAACTGCTAAAAAATGAATAGAGATATTGTCAATTTTGTACTATTTACATTCCCTAGCATTTTTATTTTATTTTTATTATAAATTGTATTAAAATTTATTAGAAATTATTCATGTTTTTTACTGAAGGAAAATTTAATTAAGGGATTTTGAAAAATAAAAAGTTTTAATTCCATAATTTTGTTTATTGGACTCAATAATTTTTAAACAATTAATACTAACAATTGATAGTGTTTAATGTCCTTCGTTTGCTAAAACCTCTGCACACACCTGTTAGGCATACATTTGTCAGGTTGTCACTAATTTCATAAGGAATTTCACTCCGTAGATGTTGCAACGCTCAGTTTTTGTAGGTCAACTGGCTACGGATGGTGATCGAAAAGCCTTCTCTGCAACACATCCCACATGTGCTCAATGGGATTGAGGTCTGGAGACAATGGGGGTTGGGGGGTTGGCTGATTTTTAGCTATTCTAAACATTGATTAACAACTCTGCCTTTATGAGGTCTGACATTGTCATCCAGAAATCGCAAAATCCTGCCAATGAGATCCCTGGTTTGAGAGATGTATTCCTCGATGATTTCTTGGACATAACGGACTGCAGTGAGGTTGCCTACAACAATACGGAGTCTAGTTCGTCCTCCAGTTTAAAGCTCAGACCATTACATCGCCTACACCAAATTGCACTAAAGGGAGCATGAACTTGCGCATTGTACGCATCCCATGTTCTCGGTAGACCTTTGGCGTCTGTTATCACTATACAGATAGAAACGCGCTCATCAGTAAACATCACAGCATTCCAATTGGCTGTTCTCTTCTAGGTGCTTGCTGCACCATAGTGAAATCAGTTTGTTAGTTTTTAGCTTAATTTTTTAATATAGTTAGCTCATAGATGTCAACCTTCTGACTTTTTTCAGTGCTTAACTAATTATTTAAAAGTTGTTTACATCTAGGGTACGATCGGTAAAAAAAGAAATGCGAGGACTCTAATTTATATATATATCAAACATTACATTATAGCAAAAGATTTTTTGTTTTTTTAATTTTGGACATTCAAGTTAAAATATGGAACCAGTTAAAAGCTACAGTAGTCTAATCTCACTAAAATCAGTTCTTAAGTACTTGATCAATCAATATAGTATTTACTAAATAACTATGAAAGCAATGATTTTCTTCTAGTTCCAATAGTAGCACTATACTGTTCAAAATAAGAAACTTTATTATGCTTTGAATTTTAACTTCTTCCATATATTTTACTTCGATGTTCAAAATTTAAAATTAAAAAATCATTTGCTGTAAATTAGCACTAAATTAGAGTCCACACATTTCTTTTTTTTCATACCTGTAATGTAAGAAACCTATGATTCATTTTCCATTAGCACAAGACCAAAATTTGAGCACTCATTGAAAGAGTTAAAAATGTCAGTGAGAGTAAAATGTTGCAAAAAGTAAGCTTGTGGTACCCTAGATGTAAACAACTTTTAAATAATTAGTACAGAACTGGAAAAAATAATTTTACTTAAAAGCCAGAAGGTTGATATGTCTGAGCTAACTACATTAAAAAAATTAATTAAGAACTAACAAACTGATTTCACTATTTAAATCAGTGTTAACTACAACTGGTTGAATATATAATAAATTAACATTTGATGATTAAGAAGAAGTTTAAACTTCAATAAATTGGAAATTCGTTATATCTGAAGTGTGAGAAATAAGGTGATGAATAAGTCATTAGTTTTAAAGAGCTTATTTTGCCGCATTGTTAGGATTCAAAAATCAGAAACTTGGCTTAGTTGCTAAATAACGTTACTATCTTTACTACTAACTACTTAATTAACTATATTTTAACCTAAATAATGTGTAATAAAAGAGGTTATTATTGTAGTTACACTCGTCTCTCCCCCGGGTTCAAATTTCAGCTGTACCCGGAGTGCTTACAAATGAATGGTGCTTAAAAGAAAAAAAGACTGGGGTATCTAACCTCTGCTGTTGCGAACTCCAGTTATGACTAACTATTCATGTGTAAACGGAAAATTTTGAAAGCGTTGAATGAAAATCTAGAATTTCAATGCCCACTTAATAACAAAATAAAAGTATGATTGAAAATTAGTATGAAATTAACTTGTTTGTCTTTTCAGTCATGTACAAATACATAGGAATAGAGTCAGATTCACTTAATTTATTAAAACACCACACAACTGATTTTGATGGGCCCAACCTCAGGAGGCATTTTCCATTTATTTATAAGTCAAGGAAAATTATTCAGGCTTGTAATCCATACCAGCGTATAGCAGTGGGTGCTGAAGGTAAAAGCAAAAAATATATTAATATATTTTTAAATAATAATTTTATTTTTGTGTATAGGTAATTCAAATCCTAATTATACTCTGGAAGGAATACTTGTTTTAATAAGGCATGGAGACAGAGGTCCTTTGACCCATGTACAAAACATATCCAATGTGAATTGTGTCGGGCCTTATGATCCTCTATACGCTACCTATGAAAACTACATTGATAACATCACAGCTACACCGCTCCGTCCTCAAATTTTGGGTTCATCTTTTCACGGAATCCCCTTACTTCCTGGGAACGAGTGTAGCCTCGGCCTGTTGACAAAACTGGGCGCTTCTCAACTTCTAGCTACAGGGAAAGCTCTGAACAAAGTCTACAAGTCTAGTTTACGTTTGAACACTTCGATGATAAAGGACGATGTGATAGTGTTTTCAACTAGATACAGAAGGACGTTACAGAGTGCCCTTGCCTTCCTGTTCACATTCATTGAAAAAGACAATTTTCATAAAATCGTACTTCAAGAAGCACCGAGTTTGTCTTTCTGCTTTGAAGACTGTGCGTGCCCTTCAGCAGATTCTTATCAGAAAAACTTCTACAACGAGAATTATCGGAGGATAAAATCTCATCCAGCAGTTCTTGAATTAGTGAAATCACTGTCTTCAATTGTTTATGAATCTCCAGATCGAAAAATTTCATCTGATCCCCATTCTTTAAAAGACGCGTTGCTCACATATGTCTGCCACAGTGCCAATTTGCCTTGTATCGATTCTTATTCAGCTCAAGAGACGTGTGTAAAATTAGAACACATTTCAAGCCTCTTTTCTTATTTGGACTCAGAATACAAGCAGTTTGGTAGGAGCAAAAACTTAAAAAGACTTTGTATTTTAAGAGCTTATGGACTTTTGAAAAACATTGTCTCGCAGCTCTTAAGGATAGTGTCAGAGAAAAGGCCAAAAATGGTACTTTACTCAGGACACGACAAAACTATATCATACTTAGCTTTAGCTTTAGGTGTTACCTCAAATGGAGTGACGTCTCCGCATTACGCATCACGTCTCATTTTTGAGGTAAATGTATACATTTAAACATACAAATCTTCAATATTTAAAGAAATTTTGATTTTAGGTTTACAAGACTCAAGATCAGAGTGCATCATCCCAAGCCGGACCTATCGGAAGTGACTACTTCTTCCGTCTTGTCTTCAATGGGAATGATGTAACAAAGAAGGTAAAGTTTTGCAAATCATTCGAAAATATGGCAGACACAAGAAGTAATGACACTACAAATAAGAGGAACCATACTTTCTTTCTCTGTCCGATCGAGTCAATTGTAAGATTTCTACACGACGACTATTTCTCACCTTTCAACGCGACCAATATAAAAGATGCCTGCAATATGTGAAATAATCGCAATATTTTTAATTGTAAATAATTATCTCGTGTTATCAGTGCAATATGTGTTCTATCGTTTTTAAATTGTATTTGTATATATTTTCAATTTGTGATTCCAACTATTGTACCTGACATTTTGTAAAAATTAATCGACAGCAATAATACTCACCAGTTATATAAAATTGTGATTTTATTATTCCTCCCTGGTGTATTGTGCAGTCTTGACTAATGCTTAATTATATTTTAAATCTTGTTTTATTAAAGACAGTGAAAAATTTCATCTAGAATGTTTGTTACTTTTTTAACTAAACACACCATTTATTTTTATGCCATATATTTTAATTGCTAATGCATTTCAACCCTGGTCCCTCTTCAGAACTACAAGATTTTGTTATGTAAATAAACACTCTTTCTATCAAAAACAGTAAGAAATCTTTCTTTATGACATACCTCACTATTTAGCTAAATGTAACTCACAGGTTAATTTATTTTTAATCATGAATTTTAATTTAAAACATTAATTTTGAACTGATAAAAAGTTATCAATAGGCCACTATTTTGGGCCAATAAAAGATTTACGTTAAATTAATTTTACCTTCAACTATGTTAATGCATTAAAAAAAAATTTAAACTTTCAATTTTGATTTTTTTCTTTCACACTTCTCCTAAAAAGTAATTTTCATGAATAGGCATAAAACAATTCCTCGGTTTACCTACCAGATATGCCAATAATCTTTTAAATTTAATAACAATTAGAAAACGATTATTATTTATTCATGAAACACGTACAAAGGACTACTGCAAGGAGGAATATTCAGCCCTATCTTCAATACTTTTTTTCAAGGCCTTATGAAATGTGCATAATAGCTAAGGGTCATGGGGGGAAGGGTATTGTGAGAAAACAGCAACACTAGGAATGAAAGTCAGACTACAATATCTATGAGCCAAGATTCTATTACACTAACCACTCAGCTATCGCGGACCCTTATTAGTTTCTGATCTGATCACAATGACACAACAGTTGGAATAAAATTGGTGCAATATCCTGATGATACTGCAATTAATTTGAAGGATACTAAATGTTACAATGCTAACACCCAGCATCAACTCTATGTTAGATAGAGTCCATATCCCAGTATCTTGAAATTAGCAGAAGACATGATACAAAAACCGCAAAGCAAGATCAAATCATGGCCACCTGCAGTTACTACGGTATAAGCTCAAGTTCTGGAATGGTCTTGTCCTTCACTCTGCAGCCAATCAGAGTGGAGCATTTCGAATAAAGCTGGGGCACTGCCTAACTGACTTCAGACTTGTCTACTCAACAAGCTCTCACCAACTTGATACTGATACTTCTCCCTGACCAGGTCTCAACAATTGCTAATGGATTGCCCTCAGCCGACTTGTCTATGGGGGCACCAGAGGGGCTATACCTGCTGCATCAGAGTCCCTTCAACCGTTGCAGAGTCAACCGAATCACTACGTCCACGACCCCTGACTTCAGCTAACAGCTCTTTCAGTCACGGACCTCAACCAACAGCTCACAAAACACTTCCAGTCACTAAAGACCTATAAGCTTTTCGAAAAGTTATTACTAAAAATAAGAAAACTATCCAAGGCCACCAATTTGGATTCTGATCAAAACATTCCAGACCAAATACACCAAGTAACGGCTGTAATAGAAAAAATTACTCAAGAAAATTTTTTTTTTCTATCCTTCACAGGCTTTTGATAAGGTCTACATGAAAGAGTTAACAGTAAACTAAGAGGGATGCTACCAATGTAGTTTGTATAATTAAGGTTTTGGTTGAGATAAAAAAGTCAGTGTCCCAAGCACATAGATTACAAATTTGAAAAATGACAAAAAGGAGGAAAAATTCAAAAAAAGGTGGGATTGAGATGGGAAGTGTCTGAGTGGATCGAAGTCACGATAGCTCAAGTGGTAGAGCAGTGGCGTATTTAGCCAAAGATCGTGGGTTCGAATCCAACTTATGACATTGACTTTTTTATCTCGACCAAAACCTTAATTATACAAACTACATTGGTAGTTGAATTGATTAATTGAAAAGAATTTATTTGGTCAAGCGAACAGAACTAAAAAAAAAATAGTGGGAGTACTCCAAGGGAACTTACTAGGCCTAATACTTAACCTCCTACATACCAGTGATTTTGAAAACAAAAAGTTTGGGGGTGATAAATCTTCCAAAATCTTTCAAAAGGCGTTTACAACAAATAAACGGGGTGAAAACCACAGCTTATCAAAAATACCAACAAATAAAGCATGTTCATTTCACAAAATTTTATTAGATGGCTATTAATATCTGGGATGTAGTAAAAAATTTCAGTATAACAATAGTCAAATAACAAAAATATATATATTTTATTTAATTGAAACCAAATTTTAAAAAATTAAGTTATTTGAACATATCTTAATTCATTGCAATTAGTCAAAAATTTTAACAATTTATAACAGACCCAACATTTAACAATTAAAAAAATGAATCACTTAATCAACAATAGCACCGTTTACCATATTTTTCTTTTATATTATTATTAGCACATCTCCAATTTAACAATGCATACTGTTATTGCATTCTGTTCAAGAACCTATACTCCCAAGAATATTTTTTTTAAACTTTTAAAAACAGCAACAAAAAACAGAAAATAATAAAATTATATAATAATATTTCAGTCCTGTCAGCATTCACAGATCTTTCAATAAGAATCATTAGCAATTTTAATATTTATCACAGTAACATATTAAGTAAAATGGTGGTCTTTGTATATCTATAGTCTTAAAGTTAATCACATTACATTGATTGATTAATAATAAATTGCTGAATATAACTTTTTCTAACATGTGGTAGAAAAACCTGAAGTATGTTTGCAACTTAGAATATTGTCATGGTAACATTCAAATGATAACAAAATATATCAGTGCAAAAACAAATAATGTAATATCCTTGTTTTGTTTTTCCCTCATAAAAATATATGCTTTTTGGCAGTTTGAAAAACAAACCCTATAATCTATATATAAAAATAAATTAACCCAGCTTATCTACACCCTTTAAAACGTTTGCATAATAATGCAAAACTGTAAAAAGTATGAAAAATAACAAATGACACACCAGGTGCCCTTATCCTCATTCTAACCCTTACTAACAGTCTATAGATTGGAGTTTCCAACTTCGCGTATTATTATTATTATTTAATAACTACTCAGGTCCTTCACCTTAAAAAATGATTTAAAGTACAACAATTTAGTTTTTGTAAGCATAATTTAAATAAGCTTTGTTCAACTGTTCCAAGAAAACAAATGTAAGTACTGTGTGAGGACCAAGCCTGGCGTAATATGGTGTAAATCCTTTCCACAAGGCGAAAAACCCTTCATTCCTTACCACCTTGGTCAATACATCGACAGAACCAGTAAATTCTGGTTTTCCATTGATTATCTTCATATTTTGTACCCTGGAACAAAACAGTAAATTATTCCAACCAATATTTAAAAAAAATAAAAATAAAACAAACCTTGTTTTGGCAATATCTACAGGCATTGAGGCAAACGTGGTTATCAGTCCAGAAATCATACTGGCGTAAAAATGAAGCAAAATGCCATCCTCGGCTATTTTGCCTTTAAGTAAGAGCTCTTTTGCTTGGGAGTATGAAGCCAGCTGTGCTGCATTAACCACCATAGCCCTGCCCATTGTAGGGATAGCACCTCTCCATAGAGCAAGAACTCCTTCCTCCTTTGCGATTCTGGCCAGAGCGTGGATTACACTGGCATAGTTGCGCCTTTGCTCCACTGGAAGTTTACCGTCTGTTGTCATTCTTACCAAAGCCACTTCAGCCGGTGTGCCAACAAATGCACCTGCTGCACCAGCCGCCATACCCAAACCAGCCTTCATAAAAAAAGAAGGAGGAGTACCTTCTTTCCTAAATTAAAAAAAAAATATATATATATGTATATATATATATAATAATAATAAACTAATATAATAATACAAATAAAGACTGATCACATCAAGCCTTGAAATTTATAATTAATTAAGGTTTTTAGTTGAGATGAAAAAAAGTTAATGGCACGAGCGGGATTCGAACCCACGATCTTTGGATTGAAAAATGGCAAAAAGGAGGGGAACTCATAAGGTGGGGTTGAGATAGGAAGTTGATGTCTGAGTGGATCGAGGTCACGATAGCTCAAGTGGTAGAGCAGCGGCGTAGCCGAAGATCGTGGGTTCGAATTCCGCTCATGCCATTAACTTTTTTTTTCATCTAAACTAAAAACCTTAATTAATTGTAATTTATGTATCAAGCGGACCACGAAATTAGTGAATTTACTTGAAATTTATAATCACTTTTGTGTTAATGAGAGCAATATAAATTTTAATGTTTGAATAAAACTTATTAGAAAATGATGGGATATTTTGGTGAGGTCAGCAAAGAATCTTACTTGATCGCTTATTTTGCCTGTAAGAATTGTTTTGATATGTTTATATTCAGTGGCTGGTCTGTGTTCTTTCAATTATGCTCTCATGTACCCATGGTAGTTTTTTCATGAGGACATCTGACTCTTGAGTTCTGAGTTTGTATCCCAACTTAGCCTTTAGAATTTTGTTTGATTCTTGGTATAATGACAATATCCTGGATGATCCTGAGTATAACACAATATATATCCTTAGTTTTATTATCTCTCTCTCTCTCTCTCTCTCTCTCTCTCTCTCTCTCTCTCTCTCTCTCTCTCGCTCTCCCTTTTCCTTTTTTGCTATCCCTAACTTTCTCTTTCCTTTCTCCCGTCCCCTCCTTCAATCCTACTCCATTCCTCTCCTCTCTCACACCTTATTTATCTATCTGTATCTATCTGTTTCTCTTTCCTCCCATCGCTCACTCACTCTAACGTTCTTTTTTTCTCTCAAGACTTTCTTTTATTTTTAAAACACGTAGACAATAATTTAAATAAACGAAACGTTGTCTCTCTTCCCATTCAGTCTGAGGTAGACCAAGGAAATTATTTCATCGCCCTGGTTGAAAGCCTCGATGTCTTCGGCGCTCATCTTGAAGCGTTTCGGAAGATATACACTTATCGTGTCGTTGTGGTGTTTCAACGTCGCAATCAAAGTCGTTCCAAATTTGGTCATAATGTTATCCAATTCGTCGATGATGTATGGCACTCCGATCTGGAGATCTTTCAATCTATAAACGACACGAGGCGAATCGTTCAATTTGATAAAGAGGCCACAATAATTAAACGATAATAAAAGTTGTTGAAAATGGAAAATTGACGTACGAGTTCATGTTGGTAGCAGCCGATGTGCTCTGATCAAAAGCTGAAGGATATGTGATCCCACCCTTACCTAGACGTCACCACGCCGGTAACCTTCCTGACCAGAATCTACTCTCGTCAAACACGAGGGGGTCGAAGAGGTTTGTTTGCATCCTTATTTTTTCCTTCTGACGTTACTACGCCGGTAATCTGACCTCGCTTGCATATTCGTACATGCCTCGCCCATTCTTGAAACTTGACGAACATGTTTGTGCATGTCTCTTTCACGTCTTTTATCAGTCGGCATAATTTAGAGTATAACCCATTTATTATATTTTAAAGAAAAGGGTTTCGCTGAACTATAATCCATTTCTGGATTCAGATCCTCTTCTCTTGGTCTCACAAGATGCCAGTGCATCTTCTCAAATGGAAAATGTCATTGCTTCAGTATCCAAGACCTCTCTTTTATATTCCAGGCAAAAGCAGGTTTAAACACTTACAATCAAAGGAATCGTGGATTGGACAGCTTTGTTGAATTTATAAGATTATCCAATAAAGCCTCAAGTGCGCAAAATTATTTGTTGAATCTTGGTTCAACTCCCCATAGGCCAGGGAACAATGCTTCCCTGAGATCACCAAAGCTACAATACGACTACCATGCAACATGGATACACTACATAATTAAGTAAATAATTAATAGCGAACTTCAGATAATAAAAACACTTACCCACTAGCTAGGGTGAACAACCAGTTGTATATGCCGAGCCTTGTAGTCGTGTAAGTCGCTTGCCTCAGAAGACCGGCTGATAGCCCATTGTACAATGACAAGAAACCTTCATTTTTGACAATTGCACTTACAAGGTGGAAACTTGTTTTGTACTCCTTTTTGGTGCCACCCATACCACTGACCTGCATCCTGTTCTTGATGAGATCCAACGGCTGGACAAAGAGGGTGGCAGACATCCTGAAATTTCATATATTAAAAAACAAATATATTTTTAATTTTTGCATTTGATAAGGGTAGACAAACATCTTTTATCTTTTATTTAACTACTTAAATTCTAAATTAAACGGTAGATTCGGTTAATTACCCCATATAATAATCCAGATAATCACCAGCAATGAAATTGTAATCTTAAATAAACTTTCCCAATTAATTGGTTGGGTCTGTTTTCATAATGTATATTTTTAATAGATATAGGAATATTCAATATGTAATTTGTAGATCCTACTATTTTTCAGTTGATTCAATCCTCCATCCAATTTATTACCTTATATTCAAACATTTAAAATGAAAAAGTTAACTGTATGCTGACAATCCAATTTCACAAAGGATTTTATAATTTTTTTCAACATTTTACTATTCGATTATTTAATTTATTGTATATTTTTAGTAGAAAGTTGTACTTTATCATTGATCAATTTGATTAATGAATGCTGTTTTGTACGATATATACAATTTTACTTTTTTTTCATAATGTGACCTAAACATAGTATTTAATTTATTTAAATGAAAGTTTCAACATGCCAATGAAATAAAAAAGACAATGCTATTTATTTTCTAGAAGATCGACATGAATTTATTCTATGCAAACTGCCACGCATTTATCATTCAAACAATCAATAAAAACTAGCCACTTTAACAACTAACAATTGTCCTTTACTGAATTACGCAGATCCACTTGCTGGCCCATCACCTCATACTCAATACCATCCTACTCATATACGCTCCCATCCTTTATCCTATGACCTCACCTCTATAATGTCTTCCTTCCTCGTTGAATTCAGTATACTCTCGTTTTAATACTCCCAACCTCCTAACAATAGTTAACAAACTAGTTTATAGTTTTTTTAACTAGTTTCTCTCCTGACTCGAACAACTCCTTAAAACTTCTTCAAGTTTTAAGTAGAGTTGTGTCTTGTAGTAATAACCAGGCAGAAATGTTGTCCAATTTAAAAGTTCCAACTTGGATAAAATTTTAAAAAAATCAGCACAAATTGAAAAAATTAAAAGACAGTTAAGTGAGCTGTACATCATAAAGGACCATAGAAACCACAATGGCTGAACAGATATGGACAGAAATGGCAAATGAAGATTTAGAGAATTGGACTATCAAAAAGGAAAAAACTAAGGGAAGAGACAGATGCCATACTAGGAGTGCCAATCGATCCAAGTTATAACTTCACCAACAAGTAAAAGGTACTTATACTAGAATGGGAAAAGTGGGCCAAAGGAACACCTCTGAAGGCCAATTCCTACTGGTACACCAACAGCTCAAAAACAGATAAAAGCAAGGGAGTAGGAATCCTCGGGATAAATCCGAAGACCTAGGTAAATACAATACTGTTTTTCAATGTGAAATCATAGCAATTAAAAAGAGTGCCAGAGAAATAAAAAGGCTAGGAATACATACCAGGAAGATAGTCATTTTCTGTAACAGTCAAGCAGCACTTAAGGCCTCATGCACAAAAATCATATGGTATTGCGCTGGCAAAAGTCAGTAACATCAATGATCTGTTGGGTTCCCATGCATTCGGATCGAGGCAATGAGAAAATGGACATTAATAGAAGCGCAATCCACAAGACTTACAAAGGAATTACTTGAAAGTGATCGCAACAGAACCAGAAGTTGGAATCCTGACAACGCACTGCTGCCTAAGAAGATCCTACACAGGGTAGGAGTACAAAAAGAAGAAACATTATGCAGATATTTCCAGGAAGAAGAGGAGGCCGCAGGACACATTTTGCGAGGGTCTAGGTAAGTGCAGATTCTTACAACTAAGAAAGGAAAAGCCGCAAGCAATTTTCTGCCCTAAAGCTGGCAAGGCTATGGAGGTTGATTAAAAACCTGAACCTGGCCAGTGAGTTACAAAAATATAAAATCACTTAGATCGAGCCGGAAAAGGCCTTGTCATCACGTCTTTTATCGCTATCCCAATTGTTCAATAATAGTTCAATTTGAATAGAAAGCTGTATTTTTATTGTACATAAAACCAAAATATGCAGCTATGTATAGGTAAAGTTTGTCCCGGGGAAAAGCAATTATGCAAATAGCTTATTGGGAAATTCTAACTTCCTCCTATTGAGTAAATACACAAGTGGGGCAATTGATTTCCAATCTAGTAGATAAAACTATTTGCCTTTTAAATCATACTTTTTACCTAGATTGTAAATTCCAATATAACAGAAAAAAATACAATTTTTGGAAAGGAAATTTTATTTTTGGACGTATTAATAGAATATTTTTTACAAAATAATTAGTTTTTTTTAAATATTCGTTTATGGCTGAAAAATAATTTTCTTACTTGCTTTTGTGTATAACAGTTTGAACGAGGACATTGCTTTGCTTTATTTATCAAATAAATAGTTTTGATGCAAAAATTGTGGTTAGATGCTAAAATGAATGGAAATAAAAGAGAAATAGGATTAGGAGGGTAAATTTTTTCATTGACAGCTGTCAAATTTCTTGCAAAAGAGATGCTTAAATATTTTTATCACTGCCCTATTGCTATTATTTCTTATACAAATGTTGAAAAAATTAAGTGTATAATATTAGAATTTTAAAAAAAATATTGAACATACCCTGAAAGCCCACCGAAGACGAACTTCAGGCCATTGGGGACCTGCTTGCTCTTTGGAGTTGACATATTCAAAAGCAGAACTGCCGAATGAGACGAGAAAGTGAAAGAAAATAGGAGTCAAGGACCAGCGGTGAAAAGGAACCCAAGGATAAAGCGAAAAACGGCCTTTTTTTTAATCAAATAATCAAAACAAGCGTCGATCAGGGGCAAACGGGCCGAGTCACGGCTCGGCCGGATTGACGGGACGGATAACAGACGCGGATAGATTCGGCAGGAACGCCGGCCGATTTTCACTCTGGCTGGGCCCGGCAAGGGTGACAGGCGGCATCCTCGAGGACGAAATCGGCCCTCGACTTTTAGTTCCGACTGGAAAAGGGTCGGACCGAGGATTTCAACGGGGAATTTAATCGGCTCAAATCGCTCTCGACGACACTGGCCCGCCAATACGAAAAATTTTGAAAAAGAATTTACTAGTGTACAACAAAATATTTGTATAAAAATCAGCCTGGTTTTTTGTTCAGTTGTAAATGTTTTAAATTGCATGCCGACCAGACAGACACATGCTCTTGAATCAGCCTCAATCTCAAAACATTTACACATTTTTGAACCAAACTAAACAGACCCATATTATTTCTCAAGGAGTTTGAAATGAAGACAGGCTAAGGTGTGGCAAGATCATTAATGATACCTCATTCAGCCTGTTTTTTTTGTTTTTGTTTTTCACCTCACACCCATCAAATACATGGGCTCAAATAAATACCAAGTAGACTTCATTTTCACTGATTTTAGCATAATTACACAAAGATGTACTGGTTTGGTGCAAAACGAGCATTGCTGATACTTCATTCAGCCAGTATTTCAAATGTGTATGTCATTTTTTTCATGGGCTCACATCAGTACCCCATTTCCACAGAATTTGACATAACTGTACAGTTTATTTGGTGGGGGATGTGGTGCAATGAATTTTGTATATTGAAAGTATGCCAAGCTTTCAGTATTTTATTTCACCTTCCTCAGGGCTATATTCTCAGTCAATTTTTAAAATTATTTTCTTTTATGGAACACTATTATTATTTTCTTTTGGACGACACCGCAATCTTATCAACACACTCCAATCCTATCCTAGCAACAGAAGCACTCCAACAACACCTGAACCTTATTACCAACTGGTGCAATCTGTGGCGGATCAGGTTAAACGAACAAAAAAGCAAACACGTTACATTTACGCTCAAATGACAAACCTGTCCACCAGTGCACATTTACAACAAAATAATACCACCATCGAACCAAGTCCACTACCTTGGGCTTTATTTAGATAGTAGACATACTTGGAACCCACATACACGATTAAAACGGCAAGAACTTAACAAAAGATATGGACTACTCAGACACCTTCTTGGACCAAAATCAAAACTAAGCATACATAACAAACTAACCGCTTACAAAACACTCATCAGACCTATTTCCAAATTCATTCATTCAGACCAACGAATTCAGTTTTTTCAATCTAAAGTTCTCCGCCGTATCCTCAATGCTCCCTTCTACATCACAAATCAAACGATCCATAAAGATCTTAAAATCCCTTTCGTGAAAGATCTTATCCATACACGCTTCTTCACTTTTCACTCTAAACTCTCCCTCCATCCTAACTCACTAGCCCTAACTCTTTCCTCAAAATCTCACCCTTACAATCCTCCACGCCGTTTAAAACGACGATGGCCTCGTGACCTTCTATCTAACCCACCGAATTAACTTTTACTCCCCCCCCTCCCCAATTAAATAAAAGTTGGTTTCTCTCCCCACTGCCTCCTGGTCTGACAGGTCTGTCAGATTAGTTTATAACTATTTGCTCAATGTATATTATGTACAGATAACAATAAATAAAATAAATATCGTCAAAAATTTTTTTTTTAAATTCTTTTATCAACATGTTTAATACTTTTTTTTTCTTTTTGTACCAATATAATGGTTTTTATAATAAATAGTACTTTTTCAAATTAATATCACAGAAACAATCACAATTTCTGATATAATATACTTAGAAAAGAACAAACACAACTGCCTATTCTCTCAGATTTTTCAGTGGTTAGACTCAATTACCATGAAATGCTCCTGACGAAATACAATCAATTTTATTAGTTTTATGGTTTTTAAAACTAATAGGCACAACTGGATCAATGTACTCTTTTGCCTCATAGTTTACACATTGCATTATCCATTTAATAAAACCGTTTAGTTCAAATATGCATGTTTTTCAGTTCACACATGTTTTTAAATTGGTGTAAAAATTATTACAATTGCAATACATTTCAACGAAACTGCACACACTCACTATAATTTCTGTCATAGTTTAACATGCATTCAGGTAAAGTTTTGACAAATATAGTAATAATTTGTTATAAGAGTTGTTTCAATTTATTTGAGAAAAATTCTTAAACTATTATATTATAGTGTTATATTTTAATCCCTTTGGATGCTCTTAAATTTGTGCAAAATTTATTTTTCTACATTTACGAAATTTCTCTCGTTGTTTAACATGCATTGATTTTTCTCCTTAACTTTTATGTTATTGGCAGATGCATACTTTTAAATCTATACAACATAAAATGTCATCATACTAACATTTTATAAAAGTGGTACATTTTTTAACTAGAAAGCATATTTCTATGTTTTTGTTCTAAATTTGCATGTTATCCTCCAGCGGTCGAACCAATCCATGTAAAAATTTTGTTAAAATGAAGATAACTTTGTAAACATATTTATTTGAATGACTATGACTCAAGGGATCAGCGTTTTTCATCAAAACTAAAAAATATTTTTGTAAAGGCGATTTTTTTTTTTTACTGTTAGGGATAATTAGTCTTTGATTATAGGATGGCTTAAATTTAGATTTCTATAATTAAAAAACTGAAATTATAATTTGAATTTTTAATTGCAGAAAACCTATCACCCAAAGACAAATATTTACTCCGTTCAGTCATGTTCAACAATATAGAGGGTGTTGTTCGTGCAATAGAACTTGGAGCCGATATAAATATGGTTCCAGATGATGGGCTCACTTGCATTCACTTAGTGGCCGAAAAGGGATTTATCGAATTGACAAAATTGCTAGTCTCTCTGCCGGGGATACAACTGGACGTTTTATCCTCCTTCGGTTGGAGTCCGCTCTCCAATGCAGTTTACTCCAACCATCTAGAGGTAAATTATTCTGGGGGGTGAGACCAATTATTAGAATAACTAATATTTTATCTAGATATGTACAATTTTGTTGCAATCAGGGGCTAATCCAAACTTCCGAGTTGTGTTTGAACAAACTCCCCTTCACATTGCAGTTTTTTACAAACGCCCTATAATCGTTGCAGAATTGATTAAATATGGAGCAGATGTGAGTATTATAAGTTTCTTAATGTTTTTATGTACATATTATTATTATTATTATTTTTTTTTTAAGGTAAATAGTGTTGACTGTTTTCACCAGTCACCATTACATCTAGCTGTGTTCTCACAACCGAGTGCAACCATTACAAAGATTCTTATGGATTCAGGTGCTGATCCAAATTTCAAGAGTAAGTCCAGGCTGTCGATTCTCACTGAAGCTGTACTCGTCGCTTGGACACCGTACCACACAAAGATTATATCGTTCTTAATTAATTTTGGTGCTGATGTAATGGCAACAGATGACATTAAGAGGGAGACGCCACTTCATAAAGCCGCCCTCAACGGTTATGTTCCAGCTTTAAAACTGCTCATTCAACATGGGGCGGACATTAACGCGAAAAATGCGTACAATCAGCTACCGGTCGACCTGGCAAGACTGCATGGCAACCATGACGCAACTGAAGAACTTGTACTTATAGATGATTTTTTTACATATCAAGAACTCAAAGAACTTATGGACAAAGTCTACAGTTAATTCTCAGTTGTAAACATGATATTTTTTTAAATCAATTTTTTTTTTTTAAATCTCAATGTACTGGCCGATTATTTTAATTTTACTGTAACTTAGCAGCACTTCTAAAATTTAGTTATTATAATTACACTGACAGCAGGTCATAGAATACTGTCTCTCTACAGAGATGTTATTGGTAAAAGATGAGAAGGAAAATTTTATGTAAGTATTAGAGGTTGGATATTAGAGTAGAATTTTTTGTAGCTGAATTTTGCAATATCTTTTATAAAAACATTTAAAGTATGGATGGTGGCAGTTGGACACAAGACACTGACTGCAGTGTAGAATGAAGGATTTAAGATCATTTATCAAAATTGCTAAATGTAGATCCATCAGAGAGTAGATTAAGAATAAGTATTCAGTTCAAGTGTTTTATGAGATGTGAAAAAATTCATTAAAGACCATCAGTGATACTAACGGCATATATTCTAAACCAAAGACGTTCTAGGACTATAAGGATAATAGGACTGCTGATTGGGCACTGGAGGTATGGAAATAATTGAGGTGAACGAAGTATATTAAATTATTGGTAGAAAAGGATAATTCTACTCACAAACCGTTTATCCATATTTCAAGCAATATGAAACGAATGAATTGTCTCAGAGCAGCCAAAACAAGCCTGTGCATATATTGCAAAAAAGAAGAAAAAACCGAAAAACATGGATACTGCCCAAGGTAGCGGATGACATTTTCAGTAGGAAGGCTGGACTCCAAATGGAGAAAGTAACAGGGTCGGTGTTGATGGACAGAATGGCATACATCAGCAAGTTAGGTTAGAGATATCAGTGGTATATGCAGTAATGGACCAAGGATGCTATCCCACATCCACCTTGTACAAAGGAGAATGAGACTCAACATGAAACATGTGTCATAGCCAGTGGGAATTGACAATACAACAAATGACTAAAGTTGACAAGGATCTTTGCCAAGGATATAACACTCTGGAAAGATGTTCTATTGAGATTAGTGAACTAGTGAACCCTGCAAAATTAGACATTCCCTGTCAGTCAATTCAAGAATCAAACTACATGGTGGAAACAGATGGAAGCAAAACAGAAAATGGCAGTGTGCTGTAATTGTGCACCGGTTGGATGGCTCCTCTGCAAGTTAGCGAATCAATGCAACAACAATCAAGCCCTAGCAATAGCCAAGACACTGGAATGGACGTTAAATTTTGACGAGACACCAAACTCCAAGCAAGAATATTAGTTATTAGCTCAGACAGTGAAGTTGCAATTGCCTAAATAACAGATCGGTGCATCTGACAGTGATGGAAGGAATCAGACATCTTGGAAAAAATTCTGAAGGCTTTCGAATGGAAGATAAATCTGCAAGATAGGTCATGGGTGAAAGCCTATGCTGGAACCTGAGGAAATGAGGAAGCTGGCAAAACAGACAGCTTAAGATCAATACCTGCTCAATTTCATGAGGTCCCCAGGTGTGGGAAGGAATTTGAAATAAGGAAAGGTGTGGGATGCCCTTGAGTTCCAGAACAAACCTAGAAAGGCTTGATCAAAAGCCTGCTAGATATTGAGGGAGACCCTTGATGATGTCAACACTGTTAACAGTGGAATAATGATACTCAAAAATCCAAAATGATGGTCGTGAATTGTATTAAGATTCGAGGGTGGGGAGTATTTGACTGTAGAGCTTTTTAATTGGCAAGAATTGGAAGTAAACTGATAAGGCGGTGGGAATTTGGAATGTAATGACATTGTTCGGGTTAGGGATTGGGTGAACCATGGAAAGCAACAGGGCTGTCGGGAAGTGATTCATATAGTTGCATTATAAAGGGTGGTTAGGAAAACTATGGTTTTGTTGGGAATTTATGAAGGATTGAAGGTGTAATAAGGTCAAATCTAGGAGCTTTTTGTAAGAGTGGGTTTTTAATTTTGTATTTGATGTTAGAAAGGGTTAAAGGACAGATAGACGGGTAGATACCTTTACTTACAGATAGTGGAAACTACTCTTTCATTAATTTTTAAACTGTAGTGGTCTTCAGCTTGATCTATTCTGCCTAAAGATGGTGGAAGGGAAAAATTATACTCTGGGTCGTCATTAATAGTAATTTTTATTGCATTTTTGTAACTAAGCAGCAGTATAAACCAAATTTTTGTGCACGTCATAACACTGAGAACTTACAAAAATAATCTCCGATCTCTAAGATTAAAATAAACTCGAGAAGTAAAGCACAACTATAATTTTCTTTTTCTGCAAATACTCAACCAAGGCTTAATTTCAAGATTATAGAACAATTAATTTAATGCTTTGTACATATATATTTTTTTTAAACCTTCACTTAGTATCAGGTATCAGTAGGCCTAACTAACCAAAATTTCAATTTATAACAATTAAAAAAATCAAGACATATAAAACCAATATAAAAAAAAGAAAAGAAAAATTTATTCCAAAATATTACGTCCTAAAATGTACTCACTTATATAAAAAATAATTATTAATTTTTACAATGTTCAAGGACTAGTGATCACGAAAAACTAATTGGAATTATTTACAACAATAATTTACAGTATTATAATAAGAGGAAGCACTATAAACTAGGTCGGATGAGTGTGAATTAATTGATTTTCTGATATTTGTTGTTGTCGCGCTTTAATCTGTTCTTTCAAGCTCTCCTTCAATTTGATCAGGTTTTCCTAAAATAAAAATAAGATAAATAAGAAGATCAGTGAATATGGAGAAAAACAAAAACCTTTTCATTTTCGAGACGATGAATGTCCTGCTGTTCCTTCTCAGTGGACACGGAAAGTCTTTCACTGAGTTCATCAAGGGACTTGGCCAGAAGTGCGATCTCTGTTTGCACTTTGAAGTATTCTTGTGCACTCTGAAAATTTCCATAGTAAAACTTGTGATCGAGATAAATTTTTAATCTTTTCCTACTCGTGTATGCTCCTTGTAAATCTCTACAGAGCGCTCCGAAGTTGGGTCAGGAGGTATCGGCCTTAGCTGTGGGTCGAGCATCGTCTGATAAACATCAAGGTCGTGATTTGGCTTCCTGCCTGAAATTTAGAAAAATTAAATTCACAATCAAAGAAAGAGACAAATTGTAAAACTTTAAAAAAAAATTTTAATGACTGTACAATATATTGTCTCTGATCATACTAAATTTGCTAGTTTTATCAGACACTATTATAGAATATCACTATGTTTAAACAAATCTAACAGAAAAATCTACGAGAATATACGGTAATGAAGGATGATCAAGCTATAAGGCTCATCACCTCACAGTCCATGCTTCACAGTTATATTTTTGGGTTAAAACAAAATCTGAAAGTTAATCTAGATTCTCCATATATAATAAAATAAAACTGTGAAATAAAATAAAAATAGTCGACTTTAAAACTGATGGGTCATTGTATTAGTTCATTGTCACTGAACGAATCAGGAGAATTTTGTTAAGCTGTAAGCGATACAATATTTTTAAATAAATAATAATGTAGTTACTACATAGTATTATTAAACAATATTATTTAGAACAAAAAAAAAAATTGTATACAATTGTCATTCTTTTGAGATGAGAGATGATTGAACTCTGAATAAAAGAATACAAAAATAACAACAATAATGCTTTGCTTAGTCTCTCTAATATTTAATCATTTATGTAGTTTGATGATGAGAATAAAACATGTTTTCTTTTTTGGATAATTAAATCCTTTCAATATTTTCAGAATATAATATTGATATAAGTTCTATCATTGCTTAACATTAAGATAATTTTTTAAATTGTTCTAATTAGTGTAGTGTACAAAAATCAGCACTTCTAATCAACAAAGAAAATAATTAAAAAATCAAAACATATTTTAAAAAAATACTGTATGCATGTATTTATATTGAACCCACATATCCAGTCAAATGGATTATCATGACTTTTGTTTTTCCACCCCCCCCCCCCAAAGGAAAAGGACTTGAAACTTTATGTATATTTAAAACAGAGAAAATTCCAAGGACTCACTGCTGTAAACATATATCGCATTGGATTCGACTGAGAACCATCTGAAATCACACATTGTACTATCAACTAATGCCGAGACCACACTAAATCTGCCCTCTGAGTCAGCTTCTTAACTTAGAACTCCCCTTAAGCCCCACCAGACTCAAATGCGTGTTGATACATACTTGACAAAAAATAAATTAATTAATTAAAAAAAATAATATTGTTTTAATTTTTGTTTTGTTTGAAATTTTTTTTTATGTTTATTTAAAATATACATAATTTATCTGTTTCAAGTTGAATTGAACACTTTGAATATCAAATTAGTTCAATAAATTAACAGTTTCTTTTTTGCCCAATCCCATCTGCAAAGTAAAACTTTTATTAAAGTATATCTTAAAAAAAAAAAAAAAAAAAAAAAAAAAAGTCAAAACTGACTTAAAAACATTTTAAAAAATTCCAAATTCATCCGTGATTCAAACACCTTCATTACAAAATTCCCACTTTCTATTTCATCATAAAAATTATGGTAATTAATTAACTAAATAGTAGAACAATGGTAACATTCTTTTGACACTGGGCCAAGAGAAGGCAGGTGGAACAGCTGCGTTCCTCCTTGTTCAACTAATTCCGGCTGAGGTGGAACGTTAAGCGTGAGTCATCGCAGAATCCACGAAATCGATTGCGATTTATTAAAGAGGACGCGAAAATTAACGCACTATTTTCAGCCATAAACTATCAAATGTTTACTCTTTTTTTTTCAAATTAAAAAAAAAATCATAGAGTTTTTTCAGTTCAAATTTCAACAACACATAAAAATGTTAAACAATTTCATACGTATAATTTAATGTTTATTAATAGAGTGAAAGCAAAACATAGGAGATTGAATCTTAAAACTGAAGTTTTTGACTTGTAGTTGAGGAAGGGGTTTAATGCCCTCAAACAAACTCAACAGTTTAGAAATCTATTTAAAGATGGCCAACGTTAAGGAAGAGGGAGAAGACACGGATTTAACATCTTTACTAACAAACCTTCCCTTTTGTAATAATTTATTTGAAATTGTCATCCCATCACTATTTAAAGGATAAGGAGAATGTAAGCAATGGGGGTCCTTGTGAACTGCTATTTTTAAAAATGATTGGCTTGGACAGATAAAATTGAAATCTTTAATTTTGGCCTGTTCTGCGCATTTTGTTTCCTCTTCGAACAGGATTTTACAAACTAAAAAACATTTTAAAGCGAGAATTTAAAAAAAATATTGCTTTAAACTTATTGAATTTTGGCTTTTTCCAAATCCAAAATTAACATATTTATCAAAAATTTATTTGCAGATTCTTTATCATTTCTCTCTGCAATTTCTTTTTCATGAATTGTTTAATAATATAACATCTTATATGATTGATGATGATACAACTATACAATATGTATATTGTATTATAACTATAAATAATAACGTATAAGTTATGAGTCAAAATCTTAGAAAGAAATGTTAACCTTCGTGCAGTCACACTGGAGTAGTTTTGTACCCCAGAGAATATTTTTCTTATCTTGCAGAGTACTTAAGCCTATAGCCTTGTTCTATTCTAAAAATAACGTATAAGGAAGAAATCTATCTGTGAAGAAAAAATCATCCTTGGCATATAAAACTATTATTATAATTTTTTAAACTATTTAATGACATCTACTTTTTTCTGGTACTTATTGAGACATTCACTGATCATAGGCAAAATTTAATAAATGCTCTTTAGTCTATCAGATTCATTGTAACGTTATTTCTCATAGGAACTCAAAAAAATGGTTGCATAAATGTTCCCTGCGGTTCAAATGGTACAGGGATGGAGATTTTGTATGCCACCACTAGCTGCAGGAAGTTTCTTTTCCTCAGATATCTTAGATTCAACGATTTGCGACATTTTTGATTAATTTTTGAATATGCACGTTTGTAATTAGTAACAATTAATTAAGGCTTTTAGTTGAGATGAAAAAAAGTTAATGGCACGAGAGGGATTCGAACCCACGACCTTCGGCTAGATACGCTGCTGCTCTACCACCTGAGCTAATGTGACCTCGATCCACTCGGACATCAACTCCCCATCTCAACCCCACCTTATGAGTTTTCCCTCCTTTTGCCATTTTTCAAGGAGGGAAAACTCATAAGGTGGGGTTGAGATGGGGAGTTGATGTCCGAGTGGATCGAGGTCACAATAGCTCAGGTGGTAGAGCAGCAGCGTATCTAGCCGAAGGTCGTGGGTTCGAATCCCTCTCGTGCCATTAACTTTTTTTCATCTCAACTAAAAACCTTAATTAATTGTTATGTATTAATTGGTCAAGCGGACCACAAAAATAGTGAATTAAGAATTTGTAATTAGTAGTATATGCCTAGTTAACCTGCCAAATACAGTAGTAAGATGATTGCATTCTGCGATGTCTTTCTACATTATCAAAATGGAAATATACTTAAGAACTCAACCTTCTGCTGGTTCATATCATGCTTACGATTCACCTCAAGAGTCAATTTGGTGGACGTTTATGCTTAGTCACACTGATTGAAAATTCTAACACAAATCTTACACGATACAGTTGGTTTATATCCCAAAAGACATATTTGTTTTTTTTTTATTTGTGGTTAATAACTGTTCAAATTTATTTTTGGTTTTCCTTCTTCCCCACAAATTGTAATTATATAATATGTAATTATAATGCTGAGTAGTCATTTGTTCTGCCAATATGGGGTCTACCTCAGCCAGGAACACACCCGATGCTGACAAAAATCTAAAGTCCATTTTTCCATAAATTCTACCCTACTCTATGCTCTGCGATCTCCACTGTCCAGATTTTTGTCGGGTCGCATCGAGCACAGTCGAAGACAAAAGAACCGGACACTCATTTATTCAAACTACATGTATTATTGCCGTTATATCAATTACTACATACTTATTTTAATGTAAACCAAATTAACCAAAATCAAAAATTCATTAGTTTTTATTTAAAAAAATTCATTTTAATGGTTTGGTTGAATAATTGAATTTATTAGTTTTACTAATAAAATTTAACTAACAATTTATTTCATGGTTTTGCTCATAAAATTACACCATTTTTGTCGAGAAGCTTCAGAACTGGACACTCATATTTTTGTAGTTTATTTCAAACTAAGTATTTGTAATTTTGTCGTTATATTAATTACAAATTACAATTTTAATGTAAGCCAAATTAAACGAGATCAAAAGTTCGTAAGTTATAAAAATTATTTAATTATGATGGTTAAGAAGAAAATTTATCAAAACACCTAAATAACTTTATTTAAAACAATTAAGTTTAACAAACAATTTATTACAGGGTTTTGCTCAAAATAGTGCATTAAGAACAAAAGAGGCGATGTGATTGCGATACTGATTTCTGATTCACGTTGTGCGACTGTACGTGGCGTGCGCTTGACATCGTATAGATGTGCACACCCTATCAAAACGTGGCAAGGCGTCGGGTAGCATCTATGTGCTTTTTTTGGGGGGTTTACGCTGGCATATTACCCATGAAGTTTTCTATTTTAATTTTACTGTCGAGCGGGATCGGCCGACCAGGCCCACACCCACTCACTCAGCTCAATCATCTTCTAAATTTTCATGGTTGAAGATAATCAAAACGTAACGTTTATCAACTTTAGAAATCCATAGATTATGTTGAATGCTGATGGATTGTTGCTTATTAGAACAGTTTCTAAGTTTATTGGTTTGGAAACGTTTGGGACTTTGCTCAGATTTTTTAGCAGTTTATCTTTTTCATTTTCGTATTCTGGGCATTCAAAAATTATGTGGGAAGGATTTGAAGGGCAATCGCAAGTGGGACAGTTTGGAGACGATGCCAAACTGATTCTCTTCTTGTAGCTACCCCATAGGCCATGATTTGACTTGTCTAAAAATAGTAGAATAGAACTCCTTTGACATTCCTTCTGGGCTATTGCCTTCCGAAAACCATGGTTTTTTCTTGAGCTCAGGGAACAAAGACCTGTAATAATTGCCGACATTTGTTGTGTTGTATTTTTCTTGCCACAGATTTCTACAAAACTTTTTCAAAAAGTTTTTGCCGTCATCTTTAGGAATTTTAATGTCAAAGATTGGACCTGATGTTGCAGCCTCTTTTGCAAGTGCGTCCACTGTTTCATTTTGCCATAAGCGTGCATGCCCTTTCACCCAACACAATGCCACCCTTTTTCCCATGATTTTTGTCTCTAGCATTTTCCTACAAATTTGGGCAAAAATATAGTTTCTGCATTTATATTCTGGGGTAATGTTATTTAACCTTTCTACAATGCTTCAACAGTTTCAACAGTCTGTGAGAATAGAAAATTTAGAATCACCCAATTTCCGTATGTAATCGAGAGTGCTATCTATCGCAATTAGTTCTGCTGTCTAAACAGTCATTGAAGCTGGAAGTGAATGTTGTTCCTTATATTGATGTTTAGGGTCAAAAAGGGCATAACCTGTTTTGCCATCTATGGAAGAGCCGTAAATACATACACATGTTCTGGATATCTCTCGTTAATGTCGGCTAGGAATTCTTTTTGAGCAATATGAGGATTGAGCTGGGAATAATCTTTAAAAAATGTTCTCGAAATTGTTAATTAGTACCTCGTACTCCATCTGCTACATGGAGTCCACAGGGCTTTTAAAAAGGGAGTAGATGCAAGGAACCGACTGGAGGAAGGCCGACACCAGGGTGGGGGATTTCTTTTTTGGTAAAAGTTAGAACTTTTTCAGTGAGTGTAACTATTTTATTAAATGTAGGACTTTCCTGACAAAAAAGTTTGATAAGGAAGTTGAACGCTAAATTTAAGCGCCTCATTTCCAGAGGGGGCTCACAGGCTTTGGCTTCTAACGCAACTATGGGGATGCTTGGTAGACTTCCAAGAATTCGCCTTATGCATGCATTCCGAAGTGTATCAATTTTCTTTAACAGCGATTGGGAAGCTGCTCCATAAAAAATAGCCCCAGAGTCGAATACATAAATGTGTTCCTGGCTTTAGGCATGGTGGGTGGAGGATGGGAGAAAATTGCTATTTTTTTGCATTTAAGGTTGATTTTTTACAATTGAATTGTATTGAATACAATTGAACAATTGAATTTAAGGTTAATTTTTTTTGTGATAAGGTTATTGTAACTAGTAAATAAAAATATGCATACCATTGGTTTCCTATACAATTTGTAATAAACCTACAGAAATAGAAATAACTAAAAAAAAGGGGTGAGGTAAATTCAAACAGTAAAGTACCACAAGTTACAAAATGCAATTACATGTGTCATTTTTGAACTGGCACTGGGTCATTTATTAGATAATTAATATATATATAAAAAATTAATGTACACAAAATGGATGCCAATTCTGTTTTACTTACGCGGATGATATTTTGAAAATTTCCGAGACAGAAAGAAAAACAAATCGTCGATGCTTTGCTCTGGCAATGACAATAAATATTTTAACATATGTGATAAATGCAAGCAATTGGTATGTGGTAAACAAAAAAAAGTATAGGAAATTCTAATTTAACAGTGAGATAACAATGTAAAATAAAATAGTGGTAATAAAATTTTATCATACCTACCCATGAAATGTTTTCATAAAATGTAAGATTATATAACATAAGTAAAATTTTAGTATATACATGCAAATTTTTATTCATAAGCTGACTATGTACATACTTGTTTCGGCCAGAAAACATTTTCTTTTATAATCCAGAGTGCATGGTAATGTCCTATTCAGATGCCTTTTGTTTATTTTTTCCTTAATTGTCATTTTTGTAATTTGGCCATCATGCCCACACTTGGTCCGGATAAGGGGAGGAAGACAGTTTTTACACAGTTTTGCACTAATTTGAGAGTAACGTGAGAGGAGCGAAGCGTAGGAGGCATATGCTTACTGATAGGCGTACTAAAGGATGTAAAAAATTTACGGTCTGGAGCTGGTGGACTCAGGCCTGAACTCCGTCATCACCCCGATGCCCCGGGGTAAGTAGACTCCCTTTTTTTACAACCCCTTGTTATTTTAGCCTTATTTCAGTTCATACCATATTCCTTTCTTTTGTATATTTTTTTTAATTTATTTGATTTTATTAACTCTTTATTATTGTACTTTTTCAGTAAAAAAAAAAAATACACCGATGGCGGTGAGAATGTTAAAAAGAGAAGATATGACAAGATGGTAAAATTTATGCAGCAGTTAAAGTGGGAAAACATTATTTTATTCAAAAAGATTAAGAAAAAACATGGTTCTTGAGAACTGGATCATATTTGTACAAAATCAAACAAAAAATTGCCAAAGTGGGCAACTCGAAATGTTGTTGAGAGTTTCGAGTGTTTGTTAGAGTGTGAAGATTACTACATGCATATATTATGGTATAGATTTTGCATTTTTTATTTGTTTATGTATTTATTTTGCATTGTAAGAGCCAGTGAATCAGGGGCACATATAGGAGGAAAAAACTAGGACTGCTGAAATTCAAAACCAGTACGTTTACCGTGACCTGTTACAACCATTGATGCCTCTTTTTATTATATTTTTATGTATTATTGGAGGACAAGCCCCTGCTGATTTGATGAAAAATAGGCAAATTAAATATTTAAGAATCTATAAAATAAATACCTTCATTCTGAAATAACCCTGAAGGTGGTAATCCTGGTTCCTTCGAATTGGCAGAACCACCTTCTTTTTTGTCTTCCAGGCTTGGGCCCTCTCTTATGTTATCATCCCCAGTGGGTAAAGCACAGGCTAAGTCCAGCCCGTTTTTATCATCCCAACCCACGTCCTGAAATCAAAGTGATCTGGAGAATTCAAATATTGCTAATTTACAAAGACCAACCTACATTGGCATTAAATAAAACTTTAGAATTATATTTAGATGCTACAACATAAAATATATGGTTTTGTTATAGCATCTAAATATAATTCTAATATTTAGATGCTATAACAAAACCGTTTATTTTATGTTGTATAAATAAGACGAGACTTGTATGATAAACTTGTAGATCTCACGTCTTTTCTATTTTTTTCAAAATTTTTCCACTAATTTTGAATTATTCTTTGTGTTAGTTTGTTAAATTTTCCAATATGTGATAAGTGTTTATATTACACTTTTAGAATTTTTAGTCATTATCATTCACCTAATTCAAGTAGACTGGTTTTGATTGAAAATATGACTAATAATGCCAATACAAGTTGATTTTACTTTTTGATTTTACTTTGCCATTATTTGTTTATTCTACACATACATTACATTTTTATGCCACTCACTTCATCAATTTGAATGCTCAGTTGGGACATTAAATTTGGAACTTTTTCATATATGTTTAAATTCAGTTTTTTACTCTCTCCTTAAAAAATAAAATATGATCAGTGCATAAGACTTGAAAAAATAAAATAATAAGAATAAACTTACTCAACTGCTCGATGTATGAATCGGGAATTATTTCTTCAGGGAGTTCATCATCGTCAAATTCATTACTGTAGTCATAATCTTGTTCTTGACTACCCTCTTTAAACAAAATAAATAAATTATAGTTTTTATTTTATTTTATTTTTTTAATATGCACCATTTATTGATGAATCCTCCTCTTCCGATGTGATGGGCTCATCATAGCCAGAAAAATAAGGAAGCAGTAATTCCATAATTCTAACGACTTCTGATATTGACGGCCTTACCTCTAAGTCTTTATCCCAACATCTTAAATAAAAATAGATGTTTATACATATTTAACAAGGCAATATGATTTTACATACTTAGTTATTAATTTTTCAATGGGAGGAGGACAGTTGATGATGAGAGGAGGCCGAACACCTTTATGGACGGCCCACATTATTGTGTAAGCTGTCGACTGTATACCTTTATAAGGATTTTTCTCCCTAGTTATCACCTCCCACAATATAATACCCCAACTATAAACATCACATTTTTCTGTGTATTTAGAACCTAAAAATCATCCCACAAATTATCTTATCTGCTCTGAAAAAAATTAAAGTGGAAAATAATAGAACTTCACTTTCAAAAACTTCTGGTGCCATCCATGTGGCGCTCCCTTTGTTATTGGTCATGTAAGTCTTCTTATCACAAGCAGTGCCGAAATCACAAATTTTAAGAACTGTCCCTCCTTTGACGAGCAGCAAATTTGGAGGTTTAAGATCCCTAAGGAATAACAAAGATGATTTTAATTTTCTTGGAACTTTTGTAATATTTAAATTTTCACCTATGGATTAACGGCGGATTCATTGTATGAAGGTATTCTACTCCTTTAGCACATTGCAATGCCCAACTCATTGCATGGCCTGCTGTATATCTTTTTAGCGGTTGGGAATGGAGAACTGAAAAAGAATTCGTGTTTAGAAAATAAATAAAATAAAAATTAATTTTATTTTTAGCTTGATTGTTTCTGATCATTTTTATCTTCCTTTCCCCATGTTTTGGTCTGTCAGTTATGCTACTGTACATTTAACAAGTTATTCAATTTAATAATGTTTAGTTGTTTAGTGCCAGGATGTGGTTGGAAGTATACTCAAGCACAGAGAGCTTGTTATTAAAAAATAAAAAAATAAATAAAACTTGGATAATAAGAATAAGACAAGCAGACAATCTGAACAGCATTCCATTATTGAAACTAACTCAGTTTTTTAATGTGTAGGTAATGAACATACACTAATGAAACAAGATTAGATACAGAACAAAATTATACATTAAAAATATACACATGGCTGAAAATTAAAAATCAAGTTCAATTAATTGTACCAATCCGTGTGGACTGTGACACAAGGAGGAACTCACAACCCCCTCCAACTGAAAGCACCCCAGAAGAGGTAAGCATGGGTGGACGAAGGCAAGTGCGCTCGAGCTGTGGAAGTGTCCTTATTTGATATTGTTCATAAATCGAGTTGATGAGAGTTGGAGAGTGTAATTAAAGGCAGGCCAAATATTTTTTAACGTGGTTAATGTTATTCGTTTAATTGGTGAAGGGATTATTTTTACTGAAATTAAAATGATTATTTATTTTATTATAATTTTTCCTTCAATCTTTTGTTTACTCTCTAACATTCGCTGATTAAAATCCAGTAGATAGAGGGTGGCATTACAATCGATTTTTCGAAATGAAAAACTTGTCACAGGTATTAATTGATTATATCTGATAAAAATAAAAATTGGTACAAAAATCGAGGGTTTTTTTTTGTCCCTTTCAATGACTTTTAATTTGTTTTACATATTCATGTATCAGCTAATTTAATTAATCAAGATTATTTTATCAATATTAGAACTCTAGAAGATCTGAGTGGTTTAACAAGCTAACAATGCAAATATGAGCCGGAAGCGCTAACTTGGCCACACTGCATGTTGAATTAATTACAGTATTACATGGGAAGTGTGTACTTGAGTACTTCTTCAAATAATAACTAGTTTTATTAAATTCAGAAAACTAGAATATGAGGGGGGTTGGAGGAAAAACCAGAAGCCCTCACACCCTTCAGATTAGAACCACAAAACCCCTAAAGCATGCCAAATGCAGAACAAATGAATGGATAAAAAAATTGGCCATACATTGGATGAATTCACCGGGCACAAAGCTATCAAAGAAGTTTTTTATTTTTATTGTTGAGGATACCAGGACCTGTTGTTTCCACCGAGCAATGCAGCTCTATAGAGCTTATTGCACTCCTTCCTGACTCCATTTTGGACCCCCCCCCCGGTGTGATGGTTCATTTTGGAAGGGGGTCAGGACCAAATTCAGGGTCACTGAGATCCGATCCCATCTCAGGTCTTCCAGTCAATTTCTGTTGAGGCCACCGGTCCCCTAAGGTGTCAGAAAGTAATTCCAGAAGTGATGGTAGGAATGGAACCCATGACTATGGGGATCTACTAGCCGAGAGTCTGATGCCTTAACACTCGGCTACCGAGTTTGCCATCGTCAAAGAAGTTCCTCAACAAACAATATCTCAACCAGGAAAACATAAACCTACCTCTCTCTCAGCAGCTAAAAATTAAGTAAAATATATTGGCCATAAGACAACTGAACATTCCTATGTGGCTGCAAAGCCAGAAACGGTACGGCATCTTCGTTAAGGTGATAATATATAACATCTAACATAATAAAGATGAGTCAATTCCAAAATACGTAAAAATCGTTTAAATGAACACCGGTTGTAAAAACATATCGATTATAAGAACAAAATTTCTAGTTCCCGGCTAGCTTTATTGCAACTTAATGTATAAAATATCTGGTTATAAGAACATCATTAGTAAGAACATATCGCTTTTAGTGACCTAAAGTGATTGTATTTCTGAGAAAACAAACCTTTTATAAGAACTTCATGAGAAAATAACAGCACACAGCAGAAAATAAACACTTCCAAACTGGGCTCAAGATTTGCCCATTGAAAAGTTTGATTCAAGGATATGAAGACGTCAAGAATCATAGTTTAAGAAATTGTTGCAGGGGTCAAAGCAGAAGAAAATGATTTAGAAGAAGACAATGCCACAACAGATGATTCAAGTGAATTTTCGTGCCCCACTTTGAAGGAAATGTTCTCAGCTATAAATGTGGTAAATAAATGTTTAACATGTAATGACAATTTTGCAAAGGAATGTATGAAAATGACAGTGAAAGAACTCGTCACCATTACAGAAAATACTTTTTACATTCATTAAAAAAAATAAACAAACCAATATTACAGACTATTTTTCAGTTTTGCAGTAAATAAAATTTTTGTGATTAATCTTTTTTTTTAATCTTAAAACCTAAACAACGATAATTAAACAGGGCTTGAAATTCGCAAATGCTTTTTAGTTCCAAACTTGTTACTAAATGGGATTGCTAATTTCAACCCCTTAAAAGTAGTTCCAGAGGAATGACTGAAAGAGTCTTCAACTTTCAAAAAATTGATCAATAATTAAACAGAAAAAAATTCAGACGGTCCCTTGGATGTTCTTATAAACAATTTTTACTGTACATCTTTTAGGCTGCAGTGCCATTAAAGGAGACTAAAGTCAACAGCAGTAAAGTCACCCCAGAAATTAAAAAAAGAAAATAATAATAAAAAATATATATAGTTTTTCTAATTATTTATAGATGTTTTATCAAGAGAATACATTGAATGTACACTTCCCATATTACTCCATAAGTAAGTGCAAACATAGATTGTACTTCAATGGTGCTTAATTCTTAAAATTGTACTATTATCACTTTCTATTGTAATTGATTAAATCCATGACAAGTGGATAATTTCATTTGTTTAAATAATTATAGATGTTGAAGTCACACTACACCATTAAGTACATAGAGTCCAGTTCAATAGTGCTTAAGTATCTGTTCAAAAGTGAAACTAGGTTCATAATGTACATAATGCCATAATACTTTTGCACATTTCATTGCAACTATCCTTTTAAACATTTATTTTCATTCTGACAAAAATAATAAAAACAATCGAACATAATGGTAAGTTCAGAGAGTGCAGTTTAATGGTGCTTAATTAGTTACGCAAAAGAGTTTAAAAAGCATCATGTGGCTATGTCAGTGTAGGTCCCTGTCTTAGCATAAGTTAGGAATAGTTCATTTAAGGCCACCTATCCAGTAAAGAGCAAAGATACGTTTCCCAAAAACCTGGAAGTCATAGAAAGTATCAAAGAATGACCCACCAAATAACTAAAGTCGAGTAGTTATTTAGTGTATAAAAGTTGTCGCAGACACAGTTCATCAAGCTGTGGGACACTGCATTAACCTCTCTTCATTGAAACTCCAATAATATGGGACCATAATGGAAACACCTAAGAATTACAAGTTATTCCACGGCCACCCAGGGCTGAGATGAGATGAACGTTACACAATCAACAACAAGTGACATAAAAAGAATGTAGAATTCTCAGATTGTGTACTTATTGTATGACCATAACAAGTGAATTTAACTTTTCAAAATACATAATTATACATGTTTATCAATAGAACATGTAGAACCTGAAGCCTTTATACGGTAGGTACATAGTGTACAGTTCAATTGTGCTTAAGTACTTGTGAAACTATAACATTATGCACATAGTTTAATTATATTTTTGCACAATAATTAGTTATAATTATCTTTTTATACATTTATTTTAGGTCTAGAAGGAAATAGTAAGAGCAATTGAGCAGAGTGCAGTTCAATGGTGCTTGAGTACCATTTGAAAGAAGTTAGGCGTGTAGTAACACAAAATGACATAATTATTATTCGAAGATCGTGAGATGCGGTCTGGTGTGACGTAGGTGTTAAAAAACATTTTCTTTATCATGTCAACGTTTCAATCTTTATTGAGATCATCTTCAGGGCTCAAAGTGTTTGTTTTCTGCATAACTGTGTCATTCTTGAGTGGCAATCTCAACATGACAGACAAGATGAAGATCGAAATGTTGGCACGATAAAGAAAATGTTTTTCTAAAACCTACATCACACCAGACTGTCTCTCACGATTTCCGAATAATCATTAACTAACGGTTACTAAATACCACACATGACCTATAATTGTACAACATGGGAGAGTGCAGTTCAATGGTGCCTGACTACTTGTTTAAAAGAGTTAAGCGTGTAGTGACTTGAAATGACTTACAATTGTACAACAAGTTGGGAGAGTGCCGTTCAAAGGTGCTTGACTACTTGTTCAAAAGTGTTAAGTGTGTAGTGACACAAAATGACTTACAATGGTACAACCTAAGTTGGGAGAGTGCAGTTCAATGGTGCTTGAGTTCAAAAGATTTAAGTGTAGTGACACGAAATGACTTACAATTGTACAACGATCCGCCTTCGGCATATTCCATAACGAGTCCGACTGGTTTCTCTGTGCAGGCGCCGTACAACTTGACAATATTGGGATGTCTCACCCTGGATAGCTGCTTGAGTTCCACTTTGAAGGAAGCCTTCTCCGCCTCGGTTTCGATCAATTTGACGGCGACTTCTTTATTTTTCCACTCCGCCTTGTAGACGACCCCGAAGGAGCCTTTGCCGATCGGCTGGCATAAGATTGAAGATTATGAAGTGTGAATAACGTGAAAATTAAAAACAGAAAGTCTACTAACCTTCAATATAGTTATATCTTCATAGTTAATTTTCTCGACAAAGGTTTCGTTCGGCCCGACGGCTCCTTCGAAAGCCATCAGGCCTTCGTTTAGGTCGGATTTTTCAACTCTCAGTTTCAAAAAAATCACTTTGTACGCGAAGGTGTTAAACAAAAATAAAGGACCGATGAACAGCTGATGGACTTGACAAAACTTGACGTTGCCGCCATCTTCATAGTTCATAACACATTGATTTGTTCTGAAGACGCAATTCAAAAGAGCCGAAACTCACTCAATGAATGAAGGAATGAATGAATGAATGTAAAACATATCCAATTAAAAAAGAAAAACGAAATCAGTCTTTCCTATTTAATAAAAACAATTAAACAAGTTCAAATTTAAAACATTATTTTTTCTTCTTATATTAAATTAAATTAATTAATAACACAATTATGAAAAGTATAATTAACTTAAATTTGTTTCATCTTTCTATCTTCATAACACATTGATTTCTATTGAAGACGCAATTCAAAAGAGCCGAACTCACCCAACGAATGACTGTAAAACATATCCAATTTAAAAAAAAAATCAATCTTTCTTATTTAATAAAAACAATTAAAAAGGGGTAAATTTAAAACATTATTTTTTCTTCTCCTTAAATAATTAATCATATACAATGATGAGAAGTATAATTAATTTAAATTTGTTTAATCTTTTTTCAATCTTCATAACACATTGATTTCTAATGAAGATGCAATTCAAAAGAGCCAAAACGCCCAATGAATGAAGAAATGAATGAATGTAAAAATATCCACTTAAAAAAAAAGTTATTTAAATAATAACAATCAAACAAGACTAAATTGTAAACAGTATTTTTTCTTCTTAAATAATTAATCAGATACAATGATTAATTTAATTTAATTCAATTCAATTAATAATTAATTTAAAATTATTTCATGTTCTTATTAGATCATCATAACATCCCATTTATGTTTAGTAGTCTAATTGACCATAGCCGAAGGTCGTGGGTTTGAATCCCGCTTGTGACGACTTTTTCTTCTCAACCAAGACCTTACATAAAAAGAAAATTAATTGTAATAAATAACACCATAATTCACAATTTATTCTATTTCTAGTCAGTTGCATTATGTCCTACTTTTATGTATTGACCTATTTTCTGAATGCACAACTGTGAAACTAGATGAACCCCTAATATTATTTAAAAAAAAAGACAATTCATAGGTGTTTTTTTTTTTTTTTTTTAAATAAAAGGCGATCAACCGCTTTGGGTCATTTTCCGCCTATAATTCATAGGTTTTAAATTCAAGTTAATTGACAATTTCTTGCTTCTCAGGTAAGTTCCAATGCTTTATTTGTTACACACCAGTGTTTTCCGATAATAGATGGAGTAAAAGAAACGTTTGAAGGTAAAACCAGTAGGACCAAACATCATCAATATTCATCTAAAATTTTTCAAAAGGCGTGTAACAAGGTTAATAAATAGACAAAAAAATTGGGAATCAGGAGAATAGATCTGTACATATTAATTTTACAAACTAAAAATTGGACCATGTTCCGTTTCTCACAATCGATGGAGATATTTATACCATACAGCAATACAACTAAATATCTGAAAATGACCTAATTTTTTTTAATTAATTAATTTTTTTTTTTGAGGGGCGTGAACCACCAAGGGTAAGGTTAGCCCCATATCTTTTAAGAGAATCCCCTGCGGGAGGAAGATCGAGGAACCAGCACACCAGAAGGGCGCACCCACACAACAATGCCCCAGCATGCCCAACCCCACAACCCACCCCCAGCCACAGGGAGTCCCATGTTACACATTGCTCGTTTATATTTTGTTGATTAGATTAGCTTCATTTAAAAAGTGAAACAGCTTTGTAAGTGTATCTTGATCATCCCCTAAAAGTTCAGGTAGTGTATTTGGTAAAGCGTACTTATTTCTGATACTGTCATATAGATGACATGATATAAGCATATGTTTTACAGTCACAGTCTCATTGCATAAATGACAGATCGGTGGTGGCTGACGAGCCATCAAGTATCCCTTGGTGGCTCTACAGTGCCCGATTCTCAGCCTAGTTAGGATCGCTTCTTCTTTTCTTCTAACTCTGGATGAGGAAGGCCACATTCGAACAGTGGATTTTATTTCCCGAAGCTTGTTATCTGTAACATCTGACCAAACCTTTTGCCATTGTGTCCATACTTTAATTTCTAAAGCGGAATTTAAATCATTCCTTGTGATCTCGCTGATTTTGGTGCCATTTACTGCAGCTTCTTTGGCAGCTCTGTCCGCTAGATCGTTGCCTAAAATATTCATATGCCCAGGGATCCAAACAAAAATGACACTCTTCCCTTGCTGTGAAAGACACTTCAGAGAATAAAGGGCATCCTGGACCATGGGGTTATTTGAGAACAGGTGGTTCAAGGCCTGTAGGCTATCAGTGCACACGACCAGTGTATTGTTTGCAACAATATGGATATATGGTATTCAACTATGGGGTTATGCCAAACCCAACAATATCAAAATTACACAAACCACTCTAAAATAAAATCTTAAGTAACATGGTCAATACACCTTGTATGGAAGGAATCAAGATTACAATCCTTGAGGTCATGGGTAAAATATTAAGACAAATAAGAAATATTATTTGAAAAAAATGTTTTATTTTTATTATTTTTTAAAATATAAATTTAAAAGGCAGCCAGCCTCTAGGGTTGCCTTGATCTTTTTTTTTTGGGGGGGGGGGGGACTTCCCATACCTACACCCAAGAAGGCCGGCCCAGCCTGCTGAGGGTGTGAAGAATGCCATGCAACGGGCAACTGTGAACCCTGGATTTTATTCCATTTACACAAAATGGTTAATAAGTCAGATGAAAATGAGACAAGAATGTCAGATTAATTTTTAGCCCTATCAACTTGGCCTTTCTTGTTTAAAGATGAAACTCCTCCTTTTATTTTGATTATTGTTGAATTCATAATGGGATGGGAGTTTATTGAACTCCACATCTTCTTTCTTTAATTTACTTTTTATTGCCTACATATTTTTGGACCAGTAAAAGTAAGCAGTTATATATGTATTATAGTGTGATTAATAAATCCAAGGGTTTGATTAGATTTTTGGATTATTGATATAATATGATTTTTAACTTCAAGTTAAGCCCAAATAATTTATTGACATGTACAGAAATAGAAATGAGGTAGGTAAGTAACTAATTTACACATTTCACAAATTGAGGAAGAATTTATTGTTTTGATACCAATGCTCAAAAATGGACAAGAATTTTGTAGCAACAGTCTTTGTATAAAATATCATTTATACAAAGTTTAAACAAGAATGGCCCAAGTAGTGAACTTTGAGGAACTCCAAAAGGGATGGAATATAATTATATATANATATATATATATATATATATATATTAGTTGTTGATTTAGCTGAACGGAAATCATATTTTTTGGGATTATTAAACTTTTAAGGGTTTAAATTTTAGTTAATAGATAAAAGTAGGATTAATAGGTAGGTTTTTATCAAGTTTCTAATGATGTTTCAGTTGTGTAGGAGTTGCTTCACTTCCACATTCTTGTGCTGGCTGAAGGACTTGTGTTTAGCGACAAATCTTTGTATTTCCGCTGTGATGTTAAGATTCCTATGTATGTCCTCATTCCTCAAGTATACACACATAACTTAAAAGCACCCACAATATTGAGCTAACTTCTACACAAATACAAGAAGTTGTAACTCATATCATGAAGCCTGCCCACAAACCCCTTCGCCAACAAAAAGAATGAAAAAAGGTGAAACAACCCACTGGTGGCACAAAGACAGAAAACTTGCAAACGTTTTAATAGGGCAAGAAAAACGGGGAATACTGAATAATACGTAAAACCCTAACAGAATATAATAGGGAGATCAAAAAGGCAAACAACAATCACGGAGGAAACATTGCAAAGAAGTTGAAAACATTGTTGAAGCAAGTAGACTCAACAAGCCCATATAAACTCTATTGGAACTCTTAAAAGACCAAAAAATACACAGTACACATTTTCCAAAATAAATTTTTTTTTACCAACCTGGACAAAAAAAAAAAACTGAACTCACCAAAGGACATAAAGCCAGCAGTGAAGATTGCCAAAGAGGCACAATAATAATCACCTATGAAAAATTTGCCCTTCGTATGGTCACATCTATGGCCATCCCCAGATATTTAGCTGTATTGCATTTAAATTGTGAACATGGTTCAATTTTCTGTTTGTAAAACGTGAATGTCTATTTATTTATCTTGTTACATGCATTGTGAAGGATTTTGCTTCATGCTCAGTCCTACTGATATCTCCACTGAGTCATCTGCAAATGTTGCAATTTTTACTCTACCCCTTTCAGAGAATAACTGGTGTATAGCAAATAAAGCAGTGGAACTCATATGAAAGGCAAGATATTTTCAATCAACTTGAACTAAAACATATATGAATCATGTCAATAATTTTTTCCAAATATATTAGGGGGTCATTTACTTGTGAACTTGTACGTAAGAAAGTAATACATAAAAGTAGGCCAAAATGCAACTGACTAGAATTAAATTGTGAACTAACTTAAAAATTAATACAGTGTTACTTCTATGATCGGAAAAGATGTTGAAATAAATTTAAATTAAATTTAAATTTACAATACAAATACAGTACAAAAACTCATCTTTGTGTATGATTAATTATTTAAGAAGAATAACAAATAACATTATCAATTTTGACTTATTTAACTTATTATTTAAATAACTTTTTTATTTTATTTTTAAATAGGATATGTTTTACGTTCATTCATTCCATCATTTGTTGGGCATATTTTGGCTCTTTTGAATTGCATCTTCAGTAGAAATCAATGTGTTCTGAAGATAGAAGATGAAACAAATTTAAATTAATTATATTTCTCACCATTGTATGTGATACTTCTAATCGATGTGTTATGAAGATAGCTATTTGCTGTTATTTTCAAGCTATAAGCCGTTGGTAAAGAATGTTGATCTTTTTATGGTTTATAGCTTGGTAGATAATGGGTGGAGTGAGGAAAGAGAAATTTGTCGAGAAAACGGGAAAGAATAATCGAGTCGGAGGGAACACTGTTGATAACTTATTGTAGACTGTTACTGGAGAGAATATTTTGGTGATTACTCACTGGCTCTGCTTCTGCACAGTACACTCAAGACTTCTACAGTTGTCACTTGTCCGCTAAGACACCTAGGACTTTGTTCTGTCGAGTGAAAAAAAATTGTAATTATTGAGTAAATGGGAAAACAGGGTTGAGATCCCCGGCGACAGCAGAAATGCCAGTTGGTAGCTGAGCTCGGTTTTTTGAAGGTTTTTACTTAACAAGGAACATGTCCGGATACAACCTGGATCAGATGCTGTCCGGGCTGAAGATCAGCAACACGGCGGAGGGACAGCAGCCCCCGAAGAAGATCGGCCCTGCGGTTCCTCCCAAACCGAAGAAGCCGGCCCAGCCGCTGGTGAGATTTTATACTTTATATTTATTTATTCATAACGCACGTGGTTCCATCCACAATATTTTCACATAAAAATGCATTTTTCTTCTTCCCAATTTGTACAGAATTTGGACAAATTTTAAAGTCTCAGTTGATTTTAATAAACGAATACCAAACAAGTACTGAATATTAATATTTTACATTTAAAAATTTACCTTTTGTCTACCTGTGACACAATACAACATAAGTACACAATATGTCAAAGAAAAAATAAACTTCAAAGTAAATAAATTCTCTGTAAATACTACGCTTCATTTCAAGGTGATGCGTTATCTCTTTTTAGGTGTATTACAATTTTTAAGATGTGACAATATCTGCGAATATTGAATTTTTACTGACAAAACATTTTTTTATTTTTTTTTATTTAGGTTGTCTATTTGCTGGCTATGTTCAGGATATGGCATCTGAACCCAGAGGCTGACGAATATTAGCAATAATTTTTTACATGAAGTATACAGGGTGATTTATTACTGCTACGACAAAGTTTGTCTGGTGCTTTTACACCTCAAATACAACAAAAAATTTCACATGTACCAAAGTCTGATTTACAACCCTTTCACAGACGACAGTTTTCTTCATAAATAAACAGTGAAAATTCAACATAAAAATCTAACAAAACACATACAAAAGAGACAGACATTAAACACAGTGAACAACCAAATTACGTTGACTTTTTGTGTTCTTTTTTATTAGGTTAAAGTCAGGTATTTCAACTTCTGTATTGCTACTCTTATTTCTGTCTGTTTTTAGTCTAGATATTTTGTCCAATTTTTTCTCCTTTGGTTATTCGCGTTTTTATGAGTTTTGTTTCATTGTTCTTTCTTGTCATCCTTTTTTATTAAGTAAAATAGAAATGAATTTTGTTCTGGGCAAAAAATTGAATTACTAAATTACTAGAAGAAAATGTCAATGTAAAAATCTAAATAAAACTAAAAAAGGGACAATAAACATGGTGAACAACCAAATTACATAAATTTTTGTGTTTTTTCATTAGGTTAAAGACAGGTATTACAACTTTTGAATTCTTGCTTTTTTATGTCTGTGTTTAGTCTAGATATTTTGTCCAATTTTTTTTGCTTTGGTTTTCGCTATGTGTATTGTCTCTTTGACATGAAGTCGAAGACAGAAATTGAAGAGAAATAAAGCTTTTTAAATTAGGGATTAAATCAATTTGTAAACAAAAATAATATAGACAAAAAACATAAATATTGAGCTAATTAATTCTATAATTGAAAAAGACATTACTTTCTTGTTGAACTAATATAATGATAAAAATACACATAGTTTGAAATAAACAACATAAGGTTTTTTAAAAAATCTTTTTACTAGTGTATTTGTTATATTAGTTTTTCTTCTAAGTTTTTTTATACTGGAGAGTTGTGTGATTGTTTTGTCTGCTAGGGGCTTGTCTTATGCTATGTCCTGTGTTCTTTTATATATTTTTAAGCTACCTTTTGTGTTTTTTCTTATTTTCCATGAAGCCTGCCTATTCCATTTTTCTATCATTTTTAATCGGCCAATAACTGTAGTCTTGATATCATATTTGTGTTGACTCTTTTTGAAAGAATGACACTTTATTGGGTTTTGCCAGGTTGACAAAAATTTGGATAATTGAACAGCTACATTGTCTTCAAAATTTCAGTATCAATCAAAGTGTGCTTTATCTCTTGTTGAATCATTCTTGAACAGGCATGACAGCGCTGTGAGTGATTCACCTAGAGAAGACATTTGTGATGAGTTTTGTTCAATTTGATTGTTAAATGTGTAAAGTTACCATAAATGGGCAGAGACAATCACCGATGTTGAATAAAGCCTGCCCTAAAATTCAGATTTTCCAAAGAAACATGGGAATGTTTAAAGTTTTTCAAAAATAATTTTTATTATGTAATTTTGTATTAAAAAATCAGGAATAAGGCCAATTTAAAAGAAAATTAAAACCCTCAGTCCCTTTGTCAAATTTGCTTAATGATTATTTATATCCTCTTAATCTTGTTACACTATCAACTTATAAATTCACTGTTTTATTATAAGTAGATTTTCATATTTGTTAACCTTGCAAATGAATATTAGATTAAATGTCCTGTTTAAAATTAAAAAAGCTAAGATCAATTTATCGAGATAATTTATTCTGCAATCCCTCATTCTTAAAAACAGAAGTTTTGTCCATGTACCTTGAACTTTTCCTGTATGTCTTTGATATATAAATTAATATTTGATCATTCCACACATTTGTTTTGTCATTAGCCACAGCCATTCATACCATTTCTGTAGTTGGTGTTTTAATTCATTATTTCTTTATCTGCTGATCTGAACATTTTTACATACCTGAAGGGTAAATGATACGGGAATCACGTTGCAAGTTCCAGACAATTTTCATACACTTCACACTTGGTGTCCGATCTCTCTCAAATATTTAACAATTGGTCCATAAACTTGTAAACTTAGAAAATGAATGGTTGGTGGAAATAAAATGGTTTTGGTAGTTAATAATAAATTATAGAATTAAATATCTATCCCTTTCTTTCATATATTTCATATACACATCAAATAAGGTATTCCCTCGTATCAATTTCTGTGCAATATTCAAGTTGGCTATATTTATTTTGGTTAAATACTCATTGCAAATAGCTAGCCAAGTATTGTAATAATGTAATTTTAACTTATTATGGAGTTCGCTGTTGTTAAGGGTAAACATTGAAGTTTTTCCCTGTGAAGTTGCTTCTTTTGCCAATTGATCAACTCATTGAACTCAACCCTGCATGTGCTTTTACCCAAGCAATTACAACTTTCTGATTTTTCTGTTTTAGAAATCTAATTTTTTCCAAGATCTCAAAAATGAGGTGGTTGTCAGAAGTATTTAATTTTTGATGCTTTAGCTTTTCCACCACTTAGACCATCATTGATCATTAAACATTTACTAATAATGGTAGAACCAAATTGTTTAAATCTGGATTTAAATCTGTTAAAGAAGCTTCATTCTTTAACAGTGATGGAAATATGAATTATTCTAGAAGCAGTAATAGAAGTGAATTCTAGTGATTCTAGAACAAAGAGCAACTACAGAATATGAAGGGCCAGAACCTGTGTCAGGAAAATATACACAGATCCCTTAGATATTAAATGGACGACTACTACCATTTTTTATGCCTGCAACATTCTGGAACTGCCGAAATGCCCTGAAAAAACTGGGATCTACAAATAGCCTAATGGTCATGAGGGAATTTCAGGCAACAAGACAGCAGACATCCTAGCTAAAAAGGGAACTTCAGGACAATACATGAACCAAAATCCTTGTAGCTTAATTAATAGTTACATTAAAAAATAACCGGAATCTTGGATTACAAGAGAACACAACAAATACTGGGGCCAGGCATGAACCAAACAAAAATACTATTCACAAAAACAACCTAAGGGAGAAGAATCGTACTCAGCAGAAAGGAATTAAAACTAGCTGGTATATAGGGCATGCTCCAGTTAAGTATCATCTTAAAACAATGGGACTATCATCAGCTACATAGAAGGCTACATAGAGTACTTTTGTACTTTATAAGAGAAGAAAATCTTCCAGGAAAACCAAAATCAGACACAATAGAGGAATTGTCAAGTAAACGGACAACCCTATGACTCCAAAAAGGTCAGTCTGTCTGTTATGCTTCCAAATTTGGCCATTTTTGGTGGTTTGTCCCTGTGTTTTTTTGCCAGTTAGTCCCTTAACAAATCCATCTCTGAAGATGGAAAAATTCTGAAAGTCAGACCATAGCAGTGAGGATCGGCCTGATGATCGGAAATGATCCAACTGTAGGTTCATCACTTCACAGTCCTTAAGAAATCTCACAATTTAGCAATTGTTTGTTATTCTCTGTAATATTTCTATCTGAAAATATAACTAAGTATTTTCATGTATATGTACCTTTTTATCTTTACTTGTTACTATGAAATTTATATCCGAGCCAAGCGTCCACAGACATCTGGGCCAGACGGGGAAAGGATACAACCATACAGATCTCTGAGTAATTTAATGTTTCATATCTTTAGTTTTCAATTAAATTAGCTCAGTAGCGTTGAAATAAAAAATACAAATATAACTATTTTTCAGAACAGTATTTGCAGATTAAATATTAAAGAAATATTTTGACAAATATTTGAGTAAATTTTTCCAAGATGAGTGGAATGAAACACGCACTAATAAACCCAAGAACTAATTTGGAGTTATATTTGCTTAAACTTGTTAGTTTTATTGTTTGTGTTTGTTTTGGATGGTATTCTTATCATGAATGTATTTGTATGTTTGTTCTTTTTTTTTGTAACTGTTAATTTAAATATTTGACATCATACAGAATTATAAATTGGTAGCCAATTAGCTTTGCCATTTAATTTGAAGTTCATTGTACTTATGAACGCTTATTTTTTAAGTCAAACAAATTTTTCCGCATCAAGTCAGTCTTTCATAATTTAAAAAAATCAAACTAATGCTTTTTGGTTTTTTAATTTATTATTTAGGGAATTGGATAATATGAATAATAGTTTGTACTAAGTCTATTAAGCATGACTGGTTGGACCTAAATATTATGTTATATAAAAGCATCATTTTGCAGACATTTAACATTATTTGTAAATATAAATTATAATAATTTCAGAACTTGTTTCAAAAATTACTCCCTGTTGTGCTAAATACTTGACTGTCTTGTATAAACAAGAAGGATCATTTTTATCGTTAATTTTGTCCTATCTTCCTTTCTCGCTTTTATCACCTTACTCTCATAACTTTTGACAAGAGACAAATATTATCATGTTACATCATCACATATTTTAGCGTGATGATCATCTTTTGATTTTTATTTTTTTGTGCAAAAGTATGTTTTTTTGTTCTTTAAGGTTCCAAAGAGTTATGCGTTAAATGGCCCTAGCGAACCTTCTTTCACATCGCCATTACAGAGTACTAGTCCTGAAAAAAGACCTGGACCTGGTGTACCAATATATTCAAATATACCAGGTAATTTAATTTCATAAGTCTGATTTTTAAAAATTATTTTAATGATCGTTTTCAGGTTATTCCCATGCTGAAAAGACCGACACAGCAAATAATACGTATAGCAATTCTGAAATGTTCAATAATAGCACTTCCATATATAGAAAGGCTGAACCACAAGCACCTGTCTATAGTAACATATCTGGTACAGGTAGCTACAGCAACATGCCGTGTTACGCTAATATAGGTAAAAAGGAAATATTCATGGTTTTTGATTATTCAGAATTATTAAATTTAAATTTGTTTAGATGAAATCCCTCCTATGCCAGAAATACCGGACTATAATGATTTTCCACCACCACCGGCTGACTTTCCACCACCGCCTTCCCCAGTCAGTTCTAGTTATTCGGAGCTGAGAAGAGCGACTCACAGTAATACATTACCTGACTATGGCACTTACGCTCCATCCTCACAGGTTTTATTTTTATTTTTATTTATTTTTTTAATTTTTACAAACGAAAAGTTTAAATTTTTTAGGGCTCATCGACTTACGACTCTATTTATGAACCTATTACTCCCAGGCCTGCTAGTGGGCTTTCTTCTCGCTCAAATTATTCATTGTATGCACCATCAAGAGTTACTACGAGATCACCTCATGAAGCTGAGGTCGATGCGCTGACTGATCTTTTAGTACAGTCTATGGATTCGCCTTCAGCAGATTCTGACTTATTTGGTAACGATAACCAAAAAAATATATAAGCAATAATTTTAACAAGATTTATATAAACAATTATTCAGAAATCGTGAGATGCAGTCATGATTTCTGAATAATTATCGATTAACGGTCACTAATCACCACACATTTATTTCAACAGGGGATTGCTGTAAATGCGGTGAAAAAATTGTCGGAGAAGGAAATGGCTGTACTGCTATGGATCAGGTGTATCATATTGAATGTTTCACCTGTGATCACTGTGCTGTTCAACTCCAGGGAAAACCTTTCTACACACTTGAAGGAAAGCCGTATTGCGAAGCTGGTTATTTGGTAAGTGAAATGAAACACATAGTATTACTTTTATTACAGATATTTGTTTTTAGTCAACACTCGAGAAATGCTCGGTGTGTTTAAGCCCCATCTTGGACAGAATTCTCAGGGCGACAGGAAGACCTTATCACCCTCAATGCTTCTGTTGTGTAGTTTGTGGAAAGAGCCTGGACGGTATACCTTTTACTGTCGATGCAACAAATCAGATTTACTGTATAGAAGACTTTCATAAGTATGTACAAGTTAATATTTTCTTCTTATTCTTTAATGATAAAACTGTAATTGAGTATGTTCGTATTTCCAGGAAGTTTGCTCCAAGGTGTTGTGTCTGCAATTTACCAATTATGCCAGAACCTGGACAGGACGAGACAGTCAGAGTTGTAGCACTAGACAGGAGTTTTCACATCTCGTGTTACAAATGCGAGGTAGAAGTTAAACATTTTTTAAAACAATTTACGTGTTGTTTTATTACAATTTTAATTCTGACCAACCGTGAGTAAACATATAGAAAATTTAAAGAACACTGAATTTTATATGGATTTAATGATGATTTTTTAGTTTTAAAATCTATTTAGGTTTATAAATGACCCTTAAATAAATTTTTGGTAAACAAAACTGCCTTTTTTTACATTTTTGGTGGTAGGTGGGGGTAGTCAGGTTAGGCAAACCAACAATATATATTTTTTACACTCAGTATTTACAAATATATATTAATATTATAAATTAACAAGAATTACTCCAAATGGCTCCATATCTCAAAATACGTGTCGGAAAAAAAAATATATTCAAGCATTAAATTTTGAATAGAATGAGACATACCACACATTTTTAACTTTGTCTTAATCCTTTGCCGAGGTATGATTTTTAAAAAAAATAACCACTTTTTATGAGAAAAAACAACACTTTTTAAAAGTTTTTTCAGTGTTGACACGTCAAAATAAATATTTTAGTAAATTAAATTCTACGTAAAATGAGACCAAACACCACCTCGTAGGCACTGGATTTTCTACGTAAGAAAAAGTTGAAATGTATGAAGCTGCTAGACTGTACACACTATAACTTCCTCAACGGATCGGACCTAATTTTAATTAATAGACTATTGCAAAAAGCTCCTGGTTCTGTTGAGAATCATTGCCCCCAAACAAATCATACAGTAGTAACACATCACTTGGATACGGAATTAGATGTTTTGATTTTCATGAATGAAAATCCCAATTTATGTTTAAAAATGCAATGAGTATTGGGTATTTCCAAAGATAGTGTCTACTAGTTCTAAAAACTCTCTCATTAAACGCTTGCTGTAAACAGTGAGTGAAGGATTGCATTTTTGCCATGGAAATGTTAACGGAGCAAATTATTATTATCCCGATTAACCCGTATACTCCGGACTGTTGAGTCCAAATGTTACAATAATCTTAATCGATGGAATTTTTGAACCTGCGTATAAGCAAATCCGCGGATGGTATACAAAAACTAATTTTAGTATGGCTTAATTGGAAATAAATTAATTGGTCCTTAATTCTGACAAAATAACATGTTAGGATTTTTTTTTTATATTCTATCATGAACTAATCAGGCTTATTGTTGGAGGAACTAGAAGCTGTCTGAAAATGGAGTGGAAATCATGGCTCCATTTTTTTGGGGGGGGGAGCTCGTTCTCTGATTTATTTTCACTAATCTATTTCTTATACGGATATATCAAGAATTAGGCCTACGGTAATCTTACTCCTCTCACATCAGCAACCAAAATGAAATACCACTCAGTCTTTGAATTGAAATATTTCTGGAAATGTGCAATCACTCTAATTTGTTATTGGTATCCACTTTTTTGTACTAAAAAATGTAGTTTTGGAAACATCAACAATGGTTAGGTCTCAGGTGAAAAATAAATTTGATACTCAATTACCTATTATTGTGACTTTTAAAAAACTTATAGGCCACTTACTTTATATCCTTGCACAAAATAAAACTACACAATAATTAAACCATAAAAGAAAACAAAAAAGAAAATTAATTTGTTAACAAATTAATTGTGTAACTTTAATAAGAATATAAAAAGTTTATTATAAAGCTAGATGTCTTATCTAATGTAAACATATAGCGAAAATTCACTGATTTCATGGTCCGCTTGACCAATTAATATATTACAATTAATTAAGGTTTTTAGTTGAGATAAAAAAATCAATGACACGAGTGGGATTCGAACCCACGATCTTTGGCTAGATACGCCGCTGCTCTACCACTTGAGCTATCGTGACCTCGATCCACTCGGACACCAACTTCCCATCTCAACCCCACCTTTTTAATTTGAAAAACCTTTTGAAAAATGGTAAAAAGGAGGGAAAATTCAAAAGGTGGGGTTGAGATGGGAAGTTGGTGTCTGAGTGGATCGAGGTCACGATAGCTCAAGTGGTAGAGCAGCGGTGTATCAAGCCGAAGATCGTGGGTTCGAATCCCGCTCGTGCCATTACTTTTTTACCTCAACTAAAAACCTTAATTAATTGTAATATAACGAAAAGCTAAAAAATTCCAGAGTTCATGGTTTCATTTTGGAAAATAAAGCATCAAAAATAGCCTGAAGTAATTTTCAGAGTTTGATTTTCAGGATTGTGGTTTGGTTTTGTCATCTGAGGCCGAAGGTCGGGGCTGTTACCCGCTGGATGACCATGTCCTCTGCAAGAGCTGCAATGCCAAAAGGGTCCAGGCCCTTACTTCCCACATGACGACAGAGCTCTAGTCCTCCTCGACGTCGTAGTTTCATCCTCAACATTGAACCCAATTGAATTTGAAAAAAAAAATTATTTTAATTGTTTGGATGTTCGGAACAAGACGCAAGTAAGTGCCAAATGAGTTTCTGGTAGCCGGCTGTGATTTTGCCAGTTGTGTACTTATTTGCACAAACTTAAACGCATTTTTAAAAAAATCATTTTTTACATTCCGTATTTATTATATCAATGGGATGTACACAATATATATTTAAAAAAAATTAAGGCTTATAATCTTAAGAAATTATTAGCTTAATTAGTTTTAATTCTTATAAATGAGTGGTTTGAGTGCAAGGAGAAAGTGTTTGAAAGATCTTTTAAAAATAACAAAAACTTTTAGTCATTTACTTTTAATAAACTTCTACCAATTATTGAAAAATTTGAACACGAATTAAATTTTGAATGAAAGTTTTTCATCTTTGTCAATGTATCTCATTTTTTAATGTTTAAAAACCACTTTTTATTAGGAGGATTTATCATCCAGGAGAGATTATTATGCTATATGCTATTGCTCATTATGCCTAGTTTGTATATATATTATTAGACAAATTTATTAGCTATCTGCCATTTACTAATTGTGGGAATATTTATAGCTTATCTGTGCAATATTTGTATATCCTAAATTTAATGTGTAACTTTGATGATTTTTATCAATTAGATTGATACTTTGTCCAAATTATTATTGTAGTAAATTATAGACTTGACACTCAATGCTTTGTAAGTGCTTAGGAAATGCTTTAGAGATTTATAGTTTGAATAAGGTCTAGTGGTTTATAATTTTTATACAACGTGCCATTGAAGGGTTATAACGTTGACTTGTGCTTTGCTTTATTTATTATTTTGAGGGGAACAACTGTATCAGTAAATTTGTATTTTTAAACAATGTCTTTCTTTTATTAAATTGTTAAACAATTTGTTCACATATCTTTTCAATTATGTAGTGATGATGCATCGGTTTTATTTTGTCGAATAAACACTGCCAATGATGTAAAAACATTTTCTTTCATTGTCCTAGTTAATTGACCCTTTGTATCACCAAAATTGTCTAGCAGGCTGCTAACAAAATCATACAGGTCATTAACTCTGCATATACGGAGGCATGCCCTGAAAAAATACTACGCCAGAATCGACATCATTGGTGGAACAGAGCTCTGGCTAGTGCGAGGAAAAGGGTCAGAGTCTTACACAAGAAAGCCCTGCAGGAGAACTCTGAACTGTCTTGGAGAGAATATCTCTCCAAGAAAAAAGAATACAAAAAAGAGTTGAGGAAAACCAAACGAAAGGCCTGGAGGGAATATTGTCTGAAGACAGAGAATATTAAGGAAAGTGCTCGAATTTTTAAACTTTTGGAAAAGGATTATATTAATCCACTAGGTCTATTGCAGGACGAAAACGGGGTGTACTGCACAACAAGCGAGGAGACACTGAACCTAATGGCAAGGGCCCACTTCCCAAGTTCAGGCTCCTCCGACACCCAAACCATGAATAATACACCTATGCCGAATTGGAGGAAGGCATATGAAGTGATCTCTTGGGACGCATACAAATGGGCGGTATGGTCCTTCAAGAAGTTCAAGGCTGCAGGGATGGATGGAATATTTCCTGCCCTCTTACAACAGGATACACCTGGTTTATCCAGTGCTGTATGGGATCTCTTAAGGAGTAGTCTGGCGTTGGGGTACATACCAAAACGCTGGAAGGAAACAAGGGTAATTTTCTTACCCAAACCAGGTAAGGTCTCTTATCAATTACCTAAATCATACAGACCTATAAGTATATCTTCTATTTTNGGCTGATAGGTATCCTAACGGGCCATTGCCCCTTGAGAAGACACCTCTTCATAATGGGTACTCTACCAGACCCCTTCTGCCGCTTCTGCGAAACAAAAGAAGAAACGGCCCGACACTACCTCGCAGAATGCGATAGGTATGCTAGGGAAAGATTTAATACTTTCGAAGGAGAGGACATAACCAAAACACTCCCCAGGATAAAATGGTCCACAATCCTGGGGTTTGTGAATAGGTCCAATAGGTTTATACAGGACTCGTGAGCCGACCAGGTCCCGGACCTGCTAGGGATGGAGTACGGGCCTACTCAGGCTTTTAACCCCTCGGGTCCTGGTCGCCCGCCCTGTGTAATATATATATCACCAAAATTGTGGTGTTTTCTTGCAAAAATAATTATGAAATAAACGAAAAATATTGTTCAAATTGTTGTTGTTTCACATGCCTGAAAAAGCTCAACTTCTCAGTTGGCATCGTGGAAATGTACATCATATGAAGAATGAATTAGATAATTTTATATAGATACTTACTTTGACCAATATCCTGAAATTTAGCTTTTTGAACTTTTTGTTTTGTTATATAAAAAAAATCCATTTGTCCTTCAATCCATTTGTTTCGAATGCAAAAAGCTCAATTTTGCAATTGACATCACTACAAATTATACTTGGACAATACACCAAAGCAATATCTTGGAAAATTTATATACTTAATTTTTTTGAATTTTTAGCTTTTAGCTCAGCTTGACTGATGACACTATGAAAATATGTGAAAATGACAATTTTATATTATTATTTTACTTTGAACAATATCCTAAAGTTTACCTACAATATTTTGAGCTTTTACCTTTGTTATATTGTAAAAAATACTTCACCCTATTTTTTTAGTAATCCAGAAAAAGCTTATTTTTACACACATATCATAACAATTAACAGGACATTTCTTAGAAAATTGTATATACATAGTTCGACTAATATCCTAAAGTTTATCTACAATATTTTGAGCTTTTACCTTTGTAAATATTGTAAAAAATATTTCACCCTATTTTTTTAGTAAGCCAGAAAAAAAGGTTATCTTTACACACGTATAACAACAATTAACAAAACATTTCTTAGAAAATTGTATATACATAGTGCGACCAATATCTTAAGTTTACCTACAATTTGAACTTTTACCTTTGTAAATATTGTAAAAAATATTTCACCCTATTTTTTTAGTAAGCCAGAAAAAGCTTATCTTTAAACAATTAACAAGACATTTCTTTGAAAATTGTATATACATAGTTCGATTAATAGAGATTATAAATTCGATTCATAGTTCGATTAATATCCTAAAATTTATCTCTGTGAGTTTTTAGTTAGTTCTGTTATATTGTAAAAATACTTCAGGCTATCTGGTTTGTATGTCAGAAAAAGCTCAACTTCTTAATTGACATTAGTACAAATTACATTGCATCAAGATAATTGTATATACTTACTTTGACCAATATCCTTTAGGTATTTGGGCTTTTAATTCTTGCTTGTAAAAACCAGTTTTGCATGCCAGAAAAAGCCCAATTTTACTGATGACATGAAAAATTTCCATTGTTTCAAGAGGGGATATGACAATTTCGGAAACAATGTTTTGACAATTTTATATACATACTTAGTTTGACCAATATCCTAAAGTTTAACTGTTTTGAGCTTTTAATTTTTTATGTTGTGAAAAATACTTTAGCCTATTTTTTTAGAATGCCAGAAAAAGCTTATTTTATTGACATACCAAGATAATTTCTTTGAAAACTGTATATATTTTGAACAATATCCTTAAGTTTAAACTCTTTTGAGCTTTTAGCTATCTTAATAATAAATTATACAACAGGATTAGGAAAAAATCAGTTTATCTTTACGAGCAAAAAATGAAAACTTTCAAACATCAAATAATCGTTTCTTGCTTGGGGATTTGATTTTATAAGGTACAGTAAATATATTATGTTAATACTGCTAAAAACCAACCCCTTAGAAATTTGATTTGTATAGAGATTGGGATATAAATATCTAGCAGACCTTGGCCTTGTAACATGCCCCCTGGAGAGATCAATCAACACCTTGTCCTTAGATAACTACAATGCCTTAAATCACCAAGGACTCATTGAATTAAAAAAAAAAAAAAAAAAAAAAATACAAAATTCAATCACTTAATAACTCTTTATTAACATTTTAAATAAAATGATGTCAACTTGACTATATATATTTTTTAATAATATTTCATATATGTGAACAGTTCTAGGGAATCAAAATAAATTGCGTACTTACACATTAACGTTTGTAATTTTTTTTTAACCACATAAAACAATTATCGGTTAGGCCCTGGTATAGTGGATATTGTAACAAAAACAAGTAATAGTAACAAAATATATAAACAAGCCAATTGAGGATACTCAAATGGGAGCTATGAAAGACGTAACATAGTATTTCACCATTTACAGTTGTACATCTGTTCAAATCATATTTGAAACTTGTCCTGCTTTAAACGCTGTATTAAGTAGATATTCTGCCATTATGTACTCTTTTAAAAAGGTGTCTAAGATGTGATGTTTTTGATGTAATTAGCAATAATAAGAAAAAAAGAAACAATAAATACTACGAGATCAAAAATCAACATGAGCGAAAGGTATTTTTATACCGCATTCACTATGTTTGCCAGCCGTCCGACCGGCTTCAGACACGAGTTTAAATGAGAACATAATGAGCAACAGGTGGATAAGTCTTTTTATGTATGTGAACATACCAATATATGGAGAAAAAATTGATATTTATATGTACACATCCATTTCTTTAAAAGAGACACATAATGTGTATAACTTTAATTAAATAACATTTAACTTTGAAAATGGGCTACCTAAAAAACTTTTGAAGTTATTTTACAATGTATTTATAAGTAACACCAGAACCGAAGGTTCAAACATATAAATTTAAATATTTACAATATTGTAAAAGTCTATACGAATATTCGGATAATTTACACTTGTGCCACCTTAAGAGTATTTTCAGGAAATATTGCAACATTTTTTGCTTGTCGAGATACTGCTGCCCTTCTTTAACTTCTTGATTTTGCATGATTCCAGAAATAAGGAGCGCTGTATATTTTGAAAATGCCTCCAAACTGTCTTTTTTTCATCTAAACATTTAAGTTAAACAGGTTCTACTTGAAGAAATGTATTCTTTAATTATTATTTAATCTTCCAAATAGATGAAAAAATGTTTTAAGTATTAAGAGTTAAAGATCCACTCCTTTTATTAAAAAGTAGTTGCGTTCTACCAGTTTTGTTCCATTTTACAGCGATTAAAAGTATAATAGATATTATATCTTTTCATCAGAAATCGGTACCCTGTATAGCAGCATATCAACCAGAACATTTTAATAATAATCATAATAATAAAAAAAGAATGTCAAGCCCATCGCAGTTGGAAAAACAACTAGAACAATCTTCTAAATAGTACGAACTATCTTATAATTTTCCAAATATTATTCTACTATTATAAACTTATTTTAGGTTTGAAACTGTACATAGAGTATAATTGTGTTACAGAAAATATGTACATCCAAAAAAGTAACAAAAAGGAACAAAAGAAACAGCAAAACTCAATTTTTGCTTAAAACTTAAACATTTTATATAGCAACCTTCACTAAGTACATAATGTAAAAAGTGCAATTTACAAGTACATAGTACTTATCTATAGTCATTTCAACGTAACATTTAATAAAAACTAATACAAAAAAGGAAAGGAAAAAAAAAGAAAAAGAAAAAAGAAAACACTTGCGACAAAATATTTCAGTCATCATATTTGGGTAAAAACTTGGAAAGCAATAGCTTATGAAACAAAGAAAATCCCAGATAATATTTCATTGTGTACATCTTTCATTTCATCATCTTGAAGAATGATACAGATATAATAATGCGATTGTTTATTTTTTAATGAAAGTAAATAATGACTAATTTGCTTTGCCTTTAACGTTCACCATAAGTTATTTCTTACCAAATTGTTGAAAATATGTGGCTAATTTCATTTTGTCGCATAGTAGTACGATATGTTGTACAAGCAAATATAAAATGGAAGCTTTATGAACAATTTAACTTTTTGTTTTTCACCTTTTGTTTTAAAAATTTGAGTATCATGTTCTTTCAATACTTCCTTTTGGCCAACACTTTTATATATGTGATTTGTCAATAATATTGTTCATACATGGAAAAATGCACAACAGACATAGAATAAATTTTATACGTTTGTACACTTAAATAATGCAATGTCATGATACACTCACTCACACAAGTATTGGCAATTTGCTCCGTTCATCTACTTCCATCACTTTTATACATTTTATAATTTTGTTTTTATAAAATCAAAGTATATAAGCACCATCCTGTAACTACACACAATCAGCAGGAATATAATATTATTGTCCCTTTTCCTTAAGTCCTTGGAGTAAGTGTTCGGTCGTCATCAGTGTCGGTGCAGGTTGGTGAGCATAATTCCTTATTTGGTGAAGGGAGATTAGTTGATTCGGGAAGCCGTTGGAGGTGACGGGTGCTTTTGGCATCTCCATACCCACCGATGTCTGAACACTGCCTAGCTGGCTCATTTTTGTACCAGGAAAAGCTATCGCATTGTAAGACAGGTAAGCTGACCGGTGGTGATCAGGGATTTGATGGTGGCTATGGTGATGACTGGGCATTCCCATCGACTGGATGGGGGTGAAAGCAGATGCTGAGGACGTATTTGTTTTAATCCCGCCCGATGAAATAACCGAGTCGTGATAATTGAGCGGTGATGCCGCTGAAGGTGTGGGAGGAGGAGCAGGCGGCTGGACGCCTCGCATTACGTGATCATCCCCGTTGAGATCTCTGAGGTGGTGATGATCAGGAAGTAGTCCATTTTGGCTGTACGCTTCATGCTGCTGCTGCATCACATCAACCAGGTTGTTCGCAGTGTCCGGCGACACTTTAGGCCAATAATGAGCATTGTCCAAACTCACCCTCGGTATTCCTATAATAGGCGGTCGTTTGTCCGTCCTCTCGGCATGCTTCTGCATATGCTTTGTTAAGTACGTCTCCTGCGTGTAAGATTTGCCGCAGTACTGGCAAATATGAGTTTTCAAGTGTTTCGACTCCTTGTGTTTCGGGATGTGCTCCAAAAGTGAAGGCTCATCACTAAAGCACTTATAACATGAATTACACTTATAAGGCTTATCAGTCTGGTGACACCTCGAATGCGATTGGAGGTTGCTGAGCTGGCTGAAAGCTTTGTTACAACCGGGATGCCTGCATTTATACGGTTTGTCTCCCGTGTGAGTCCTGATGTGCTGCTGGAGATGAGACAGCTGGGTGAATTTTCTCTGACAGATTTCACACCTGTACGGCTTAATCCCTAGATGGATCCTCGTGTGTTGACTCAGATAGGAACTATTGGCGAAAGTTTTACTGCATTGAGTACATTTGTAAGGCTTGACTTCACGCATATGTAGCTGTGAGTGGAGTTGAAGCTCGGATTTCGATGAAAATATCTGAAACAATAGATGGAATTTAAAATAATTTTCTTTTGTCCTTGAAAGATCAAATATTATTTAAAATTGATTTTTTTAGTTATAACTTTTATAGACAAAAAAGCAGCTTTAATTCTTTCTTTTGCAATTAGTAAGTGGTTTTATCTATCAATTTGTATCTTTCACTTGTCTATATCTGAGTAGATTGGTTTGGAAGAGATTTATTTACCTTTCCAAGTTTCTAAGTAAAAAAAAGTGTATTTATTAAAATTGTATTCACTAGGGTTTTGTTCAGGCAATGAAAAGCCCTGTTTCCTTTTCAATGGGTCTCTGATCAATAATATTATTAAATTTACAAGACGTGGGCATTTGTTCTCATTTGCGTTTTTTTTTCTTGCTTTGATGTTGATGTTGATGAAACATATGTCGCCGGTTCAAAGAAGTATAACGGGCAATTGTGCCCTGTAGAAATTATGAGAAGTCTACAAAATTTATTTAGTTTTGAGAAATTGTTCCGGCATTTTATTGTTATTGATATCCTGGATTTGTGACTTGTGTAATATCATTCCTTAAATGGAATTGGGTTTTTCAAAACGCCATCAATTTTCAAATCATCGAAACAGTTTTTAGGCTAACTTTATCGCCTCTCAATCTCTGCCCGATAATGAAGATTAAGCAATGAGAAAGGCTAAAGTGACCTTAGACAGACCAGTATTTGAAGTTCTATAAACAGTGGACCATTAAAACCTGATTGACAAGGTCTACTCTTTGGCCAGAAGCACGGTTGAGAGTGATTCTGACATCTCTTGGCAAGGCGAAGGCGAAACATTTCTATTAACAATCGAAAAAAAGTCATAAAATAATTTTCCACTGTGGAAACAAAAAGTTCATCATTCGCCCAATTTGGTTAAAAAAAGAAGAAAAAGGGAAGACGTGTAACGATTTTGATGTTAAAGAGAGCAATTAAGGACATCAAAAGCAAGAAACTTTTACGTGAAGCAATAAAATGTTCCTGAGGGAATTATAAAGCGTTCCTCTGGCTCTTGAAAGTCCCTCTCAGGTAACAATCTTGGCCGGAAAGGAGGAGCGCCGGAGCATTCCGGATCGGGCCGAGATGAGGGTCTCATGAGATATCGGCTATAACTATTTTCCTCTTTTCACAACCGATCAGGATGAAATATTTTATTACTAAAAGGCGACACACGGTTGTCGATTGTGATAAATTATGTACAAAATAGAGACTGGCTAAAACGCCCTTGGTGCCTTTTGAAATTGTTAGTTTTAATTTTTTTTTTGACGAGTAATTTACAATTTCAAGCTGGGCTAACGGATTCATAAGAGCCGACCCTTTTTCAAAAGTGGTATCTGTTTACTTTGCCATATATGAAACTAATCATTTCTTCGGTTTAAATCTTTGTTCTAAAGTTTTGGAAAAAGTTTTGTTTAACAATATTATAAATTACTTTATACCACAGTGGGATTCCAGTATTTAGTAATCTTTAACATGAAACAAAGTAGAAACTACAAATTTTGTAGTTTGGTCTTTTTTCTTACTTTTTATTTTTCTCTATCCTCAAGTCAAAACATCATGACCATAAGTTAGTCTATTTTTCAAACTAAATATAGTAACTTTTATAGATTTATTTATTTTTTTAATTCAAAACGTTCAATTGTGATGTGTGATGAATCTGGACTTCGGTCGTTACCGATCATTTTGGTCTGCCTATCGCCACTGTGATGGTCTGTCAGGCTCGTTCCGGCTTTTCGCCAACTTCAGTGGGTCTGTTTAATAGTGATAACAACGAAAGACACATTGAAGATGGCGAAATGACGAAACGAGCCGGACAGACCAACGCAGAGGCGATAGGCAGACCAAGTACCGATCAATCTCGGATGGTACAGCGGTATGACAAAGGATACACTTCTTTAACACCGAGGATAGGTTGACCAAAACCATCGTTCACGACCAATTTTCAAAATGGTCAATTGTGAGATGTAATGAACCTGAAATTCAGTCGTTGCTGATCATTTTGGTCTGACTGTACTTGCTGTGTTGGTCTGTCGGGCTCGTTTCGGCATTTCTCCAACTTCAGTCTGTCCGTTAGTAATAACAACGAAAGACGCACTGAATATGGGGAAATGATATGCGAAACCGATCAGACACGTTCTTGGATGGTACAGCGTATGACAAAGGATGCACTTCTTAAACACCGAGGATAGGTTGACCAAAATCATCGATAATGACCAAATTTCAAAATGTTCAGCCAATATCGACGAGTTTCTCTGTTCGTCTCTTTATCAGATATGGCTAGCCTGTGTTTTTTTGTTAATCTTTCGTTCTGTTATGCGTACTGTGCATTTTACAACAGTTTTATCCTTTCTGGTCCGCCCAAGTTTCGCAATGTGCCGATCACCTCGTCCGTCTTGGGTGCTTCAGAGGTATGAAAAAAGGGCACAACAGACAAAACTGCGAACACACCATATTTGCTTACAGACAACGGACAGCGAGGATAATCAGGCCAAAATGATCGGTAATGTACAAATTCCAAAATGTTCAGTCAATGTGGACTAATTTGAGTTTCTCTGTTCGTTTCTGTGTTAGTTTTGATAATCTTACGTTCTTTTACCTATTTTGTGCATGTTTATGAGTTTAGTCTTTTCTGGTTTGCCAATTATCGCGCGATGTACCGTTCAAAAACGTTCAGCTTGGGTTCATTGGCGTGACAAAGGACACAAGTGAAAAACAGCGAGGTTAGACGGACCCGAATGGAAGGAAACTAACAAAATAAAAATTCACCATCGCCCAGACTTCAAACAGAAAAATCACAACAAAAATTACTGCCACATTTTCTTTTCTTCATGACTGTTGGAATGTTTCAGATTCGCTCTGATATCGAAAAAACCCAAGAAGAACAAAAGCTTCATCGAAGGGCCTCGATATTCGGTCGAACAAATAACGACGAAAGTTGAAATTTTCTCCTGCTGATTATCATTGACGACATCTTGTTCCAGACTAAAATTCTGGTTGATTGTGCGAAACTCGTTAGTTTCCCAGTGAGGATGGCGCAAAGCCGAAACCCATTTGAAATCGAAACCTGCCGGTTCAAAACAGCTAAGAGCGTTGAAAAATTCCAGTGAACTAGGCGGAAAACTGTTGCAACTCTACTCAAAAGAATTACGTAAAACGGTGCATTTCTATTCTTGTAACTTGTTAATACAGGTGTTGCGAGGAGAGATCAACGACAACCGTGCAAACATCCCAACAGTCCTAATCAGCCAACATTTGTGAAGATAAGGTTCACAATTTAGAGAGTCTGCCATCGGGCTGAATCATCTCTGTCAACAGTGCTAACAGGAAAAACGGATTGAAAAGATCAATATAAATCATTGGAAAAGAGACAAACATAAAAAAAAAAAAAACAAATCCAGGAGTCTGAATGAGAATTTTAATATGGACCAGGCTCAATAGCGAGCATTTTAGTCATTTAATCGATGTCCTTCCCTTGACCGGAGGAGCACAAGTCTTCCAACGAGAGAACTGTTTTTCAACGGTGTTTATGATATAAAACACATCCAAAAAAAAACATCTTTGTAGCTTGGTTCTTTTCTCTCGCCAGTTTTAAATAAAAAAATCTGTGTTTTTTTTTGGTAATTTTCTTATCATATAAAACAAATAATCCTTATCGCCCCGAGTTAAAATATATCTCCCATCTTGACCTCGCGAAAAAAAATTGTCATTTGTGATCAACTCCCGGCGATAATAATTTCTGATAAACATATTGAGAGGCAAAACCAATGTAGTTTTACGCTATGTTTATAATAATACTAGGATTAAAAAAAATAATTCTAGAAATGGGGAGAAATAATAATCTGTGTGATTAATGGAACCAATCAGTGTACATCAACTTTATTATATCCAAAGACCCTTTAAATCATATGACCGTCATAAATGACTCGGGCCTAGCCAAAGTGAAACTATAAATAGTTTCAAATTCCACTAGATTACAACCGATTTTTCGATACTTCACCGACTGTGTTAATTCGACGTAATTATACTACATAATAAATAAAGAAAGAAATTGTGCGAAAAATTAGACCAGAACACAACGAAAAATGCTATTTCACAGTGAGATGGCTCGTCCTTTGTTAGATTTTTGTCCCGCGATTATGGTTAATCCACCAAGGTGACTCCGAAAGACGATTCTTCCATTATCGACTAGAAACAACCACAGAGGAGCGATGTATATTTGTTATACATGTACATATATTTTTTAAACAGCCTATTATTTTATTTCAATTAATTAAGGTTTTTAGTTGAGATAAAAAAGTCATTGTCACGAGCGGGATTCGAACCCACGACCTTCGGCTAGATACGCCGCTGCTCTCCCACTTGAGCTAACGTGACTTCGATCCACCCCCGTTCGTGACAATGACTTTTTTATCTCAACTAAAAACTGTAATTAATTGAAAGATATTAGTTGGTCAAGCGGACCACGAAAACTAGTGAATCTATTATTTTATTATGAAAATAATAGAAAATAGAAATTTAAAAAAAAACCCGACATCCCTTAATAGCAGGTCACAAATTCCCAAAGAAGCTGGGAATTTGTGACAAGTTCATCAGATTATTTAATTAAGAATTCACTAAAGCATGCGCCTCACTTCCTTTTCACAATAAAAAAAAAATTGGAAACATTCTCATAATTTAAGATGTATTGTATGATCTCAACAATGTATGCGTTTCATCTGTTCGTTTTCTCACAATTGGAGAAGTATTGGACACTAATACACAGGGGGTATGCGATAAATGTATGAGATAATTTCCCACAAAATACATAAAAGGGTGCGTCTCATTTCTTTGACATCTACTGTTCCAAAACTTTTCTAAGTCCAGGGAATTTGTGATAAGTTCATCAAATGATGGGTCTCAAATCATCAAATATTCACACAATTCGAGAAGTATTTGGGTACAGGGGAACCGTGATGAGTTCATCAGTTACTACAAAATTGACAAAAGGATC